CCGGAGCGCAGATGGCACCCCCATCATACCATATGTGTTGGCTCTCCGAGACCGCCTGGAAGCCTTAACCAGGACGTAAGGGAAAACCTTCAGGCGGCACAGACCCGCCAGCGCACATGGTATGACCGGGGAGCCAGGGACCGTAGCTTTCAGGTCGGGCATAAAGTGCAAATTTTAAAGCCTGTCCGACATGACAAGCTACAGGCCGCCTGGCAGGGACCTTATAGGGTGGTGGAACAGAGATGTGACACCACCTATATAATTGGCCCCTGTACAGGGACGGGAGGGCGACGCATGCTCCATGTGAACATGATGAAGCCCTACCAAGAGCGCTCCGAGGAGGTAACCGCCATATGTGCGCCCAATTCGGATGAGTTTGACAGCTTACCACTCCCAGATCTGTTGGAAGATGGGCAGTTGTCGGGGATTTAGGGGAAGTCACACTGGGAGACCGGCTGAGCCCACAGGAGCGCATCGAGGTACAGCAGCTGTTGGAGGAGAAACGAGACACGTTCTCTAATGTACCTGGGTACACCCCTCTGGCCACTCACCGGGTAGAGACCCCAGGGCAACTACCGATGCGCCAGACCCCCTACCGCATCCCAGAAGCGGTAAGGGAAAACATGCGCAAGGAGATCGATGAGATGCTCCAACTGGGGGTGATTGAGCCCTCAGATAGTCCCTGGGCTTCTCCGGTAGTACTCGTACCGAAGCGGGACGGTACGACCCGCTTCTGCGTAGACTACCGGAGATTAAACGAGAAAACGGTGTCCGATGCATACCCTATGCCACGGATAGATGAGCTACTGGACAGAATGGCCAGGGGTCAATACCTCACTACCATTGACTTATGTAAGGGGTATTGGCAAATCCCCCTGGCCCCAGAGGCCATCCCGAAGTCGGCCTTTGTCACCCCATTTGGCTTGTACCAGTTTAAGGTCATGCCATTTGGGATGAAAAACGCCCCAGCTACTTTCCAGCGGATGGTAGACCGACTCCTGGATGGGTTCCAAGACTACACCTGTGCCTACCTGGACGATATTGCCATCTTTAGCAATACGTGGCAGGAGCACTTGGCCCATATAGGAGCGGTGCTAGACAGGATTAAGGAAGCTGGTTTGACATTGAAACCGGCCAAGTGCAGCATAGGGATGGCCGAGGTGCAGTACCTCGGACATAGAGTGGGTTGCGGCAAACAGAAGCTCGAACCAGCCAAAGTAGAAGCCGTGGCCCAGTGGCCCACTCCTAGGACTAAAACCCAGGTGTTAGCCTTTCTAGGGACCGCTGGGTATTACAGAAAGTTTGTCCCTAACTATAGCGCCCTCGCCAAACCTCTCACTGACCTTACTCGGAAGAATTTGCCCCGCCAGGTGACCTGGACCCCGGAGTGTGAGCAGGCATTCCAACATCTGAAAAATGCACTGATAAATGCTCCTGTCTTGGCAGCTCCCAATCCAACTAAACGTTTTCTTGTTCACACAGACGCTTCTATGTTTGGATTGGGAGCAGTACTGAGCCAAGTCGGAGCCGATGGCGGAGAACACCCCGTGGCTTACATCAGTCGCAAGCTATTACCCAGAGAAGTAAGCTACGCCGCCATCGAGAAGGAATGCCTGGCTGTGGTGTGGGCCTTAAAGAAACTACAGCCGTATCTATATGGACAGCCTTTTTCGTTACTCACGGATCACAACCCGTTGGTCTGGCTAAACCGGGTGGTTGGGGACAATGCCAGGCTGCTGCGCTGGAGTTTGGCGCTGCAGCCTTTTGACTTTAATATTCAGTACCGCCCGGGTAAACAGAATGGGAATGCCGACGGGTTGTCGAGACAAACTGACCTGGAAAAATGATCCGTGAGTCCCCGGACATCCCCAAGCCGATCCGTGTTGGATCAGACTGTGTATGCCGGCTTGTGGGCAAGGGGGAGCAGTGTAGCGGATGGCACTGGGCTGTCCTGCAAATGTCTTTGAAAATAATTGCATTCGTGTGATCTGCTAGTTTCTATGTGTTTTATAGCCTTGTATTCTTGTGATGGTTCGGTAGTTTCATTCCCTTAGTTTATTCGAATGAAACTACCGAACAACCAGACCTCCCCTGGGTAAAGTGTGTCCTCAATTACCCGTTGCAACATTGTTGCGAACGGGTAATTGACTAGGAAGTAGCCGTCCTTTGTTCTCGGGGGTGGCCGCCATTCGACAAACGAACACGTGGCGGCGGCCATTTTAAAACTCCCGAACAGCGGTGTTTTGCCGTCGAGTGTCTGGAACTAAAATCGGACACTCGAGCAGGCGAACACCGCTGAGACCTCCACAGCCCTGGTCCGTTCGGTTCCAAACTACCGAACGGCCCCTCGTTCGGTAGATATAAAATACCGAACGAGGGGAATCAGGCGAACCCTCCCTAGCCTCTATAGCTAGAGGTTTTCATGTATTTTATTCCCTTATACCAGGACCGACCGCAGGGCCCATTCACATGGAACCGGATTCGGCTATCTCTGTTCGTGCGGTCGGTCATTCTATTCCCTCCATACTTTTCCCGAACCCCTGGTCTGATCTGGGTGATTTTTGGATATGTTGGTCACCCAGATCAGGGCTATCAGGGGATGTATGATTTAAAGAGGTACCCCTACGTTTAGGGGTACATCCAGAAACGGGGGGAATTGGTGTACTGGATAAGGGGATTATGATGCTGGCTGAGGGGAGGGGATGTGTGGGAGGTTACCAGGACAGGATTGGCTACTGTAATAATTACTGTAAATCCCTCCCTTGCATGGGAGCATGCTTTATAAGGAGACTGTGATTAAAGGCTTGTCAGTTATGCTCCTGAAACTGTGTGTCGTCCAGTTATTGGGATTGCTGTTGGGATATTGCTGTATTTTACCTGCTGGAAACCTTGCCTTTGGATTTATTCTCTACTTGTTCCTGAGCCTCACTTGGATTATAAGCGGAGATAACCTGGGGAATATTGCATCTCCGCTACACTCCCTTAATCTATTTGTTCTATATATAACGCGGGATGCACCTAGGCAGTATATTTTTTGAAAGCCCATTATAAGGAGGAGTGCCTAGTGATTGGATTTGGATATATATATATATATATATATATATATTTTTTTTTTTTTTTTTTTTAAATAGAAGGGGTCCCAGAACAGAACGATGAGGGACACCATTTACCACTTTTGTCCAGCTTGAAAACTTACCATTAATGACAACTCTCTGTACTCTATTTTTTAAGGCAATGTTCTACCCAAGAGCAAGAATTTTCCTCTATACCAATTTCTTTTTTGTTTAAACACTAACCTATTGTGAGGGGCCGTATCAAACACCTTGGCAAAATCCAAGTAGAACACATCCACTGCAACACCCTGATTTATACATCTACTTACTTCTTCATAGAATGCAATTAGGTTAGTTTGACATGACCTATGTTTTAGAAAACCATGCTGATTATTGCCAATAACATATTCTATAGCTGCCAGAGGTATGATTTCACCTCCAGGAGCATTATCAGCCAGCTGGCTAATGTTAATCCTGTGCATATTTGGCATCTGTCATCAGCAAGCATAGCATGCTAGTTGTAGATAGCCAATGGCAGTACAGACCCTCCCTCTATACTGCCCAATCATTGAGCATTGGGCCTCGGCATGCTAGCAATGGTTACTACACGCAAAAACAATGTTTAAAGGGACACTATAGTCACCTGAACAACTTTAGCTTAATGAAGCAGTTTTGGTGTATAGAACATGCCCCTGCAGCCTCACTGCTCAATCCTCTGCCATTTAGGAGTTAAATCCCTTTGTTTATGAACCCTAGTCACACCTCCCTGCATGTGACTTGCACAGCCTTCCATAAACACTTCCTGTAAAGAGAGCCCTATTTAGGCTTTCTTTATTGCAAGTTCTGTTTAATTAAGATTTTCTTATCCCCTGCTATGTTAATAGCTTGCTAGACCTGCAAGAGCCTCCTGTATGTGATTAAAGTTCAATTTAGAGATTGAGATACAATTATTTAAGGTAAATTACATCAGTTTGAAAGTGAAACCAGTTTTTTTTTCATGCAGGCTCTGTCAATCATAGCCAGGGGAGGTGTGGCTAGGGCTGCATAAACAGAAACAAAGTGATTTAACTCCTAAATGACAGTGAATTGAGCAGTGAAATTGCAGGGGTATGATCTATACACTAAAACTGCTATTTAGCTAAAGTAATTTAGGTGACTATAGTGTTCCTTTAAATAAAACATAGTTTTTTGTTTATAATGTAATAATATAGCTTTAGCCAATCAAAGTTATACACCTGTCACCCTACTCTAGTGTTTTCTTCTTCTAAAAAAATAAAACCTTCCTAAAACATGATGATGTGAGTGTCGATTGATAACATATACTGTTTTCTTTATGAATGGAAAGACTCTCTCGCTTATGTCCAAGAACTAATTAAATCAGAAAAGTATGGTCATGTCTCCGACTCTAGTAAAACTCACACTGGATTATGACTCTTCTAGCTCAAGAACACTCTATATACCTCTCAATCTGCTGAAAATGATTCAACCTGATCAGCCAACGTGATGTGGACTAGTGAGCTTTCAAGTGTGGTCTCTATTGCAATAGAGAATACATTTGTTGGACTTCAATTTGTATGTTTGAAGAAGTGAAACACTTTACATATATTTAGAAAAAATAACTTGTCAGATGCAGTTATTTCACATTACAAAATTAAGAAAAAATGCAACTTCTGAAATTAGGTGTCCTTGCACAAAGGATCTACTTCATTCTGTTCCAACTACTACTAAAAGGAAAACTTACTATCACGTGTGCAATAACAGTTACTCAGCTTCTTGCGATCACCCTAAAAACACTGATAAAGAAGTGCTCCAATAAATATATAAAAACCTTTGCAGGGATTGGTTTCCATTTTAAAAGCCTTAAACACTTTTAGGTACCTGGTCAAATTTCATGCAAATTAAAGCTCACCTTATTTTGCTTAGCCCTTTCGTGGTAAATACACTTTTATTTTACATCAAATTCCTATATATGTAATTCCTAATTACATCAAACTTCTATACACTTTTTTTTCTGTCCAACATACAGAATGCAAACACAACAATATATACACACACAAACAATTTGTTTACTGCATATGTTTGATAGAGGATATATATAAATTGCACAAAACAGATTTCATGAAACGAAAAAAAAAACATTTATTTATGTACATTTCCCAAATGATAAAGCAGCCCACCAAAACATATTGTTCTATAAGGACCCCCAAAAGTTATCTAAATTCATCACATGGTAATTAGATTTTTAAGCACAATACCCTCAAAATGAAAGGGTCACTAGCATATCATAATACATCTCATAGTCTCAAAAAATCCCAAATTAGCACACACCGAAGCGAAAAATATAAGATTGTCATGTGTCTTGAGTAAATATATCCCCTGTGTAATCTAGGCAGACCACATTCAATTTAAGTGTGACAGTTTTTTAGCCAGCATTTGCAATATTTAAAATTATGTACAAACAAATACAAAAAGTTAAAAGAAAAAAAACAAACACTTTTTTTTTAATCCCTCATACAAGCTCCAGTTAATGTATACAAATGTGAGATACGATTTTGCCATATACCCTGAGAACTTTGATCATGTTTACACAAGTGTCAGACTCTGCACCAATTATTATTATTTTTTGATATACAGACCTAAATATGTACATTTCAAACAAACAAAAACTTAGGGTGTCCATAATTGCTTCAGTTTTACTGATCGGAAACTGATATAGCCGTACTCTGGTAACTGTGAGGTGATGTAGAAATATCACAAGTGTTTCAGTTTGTGATCAGTACAGATAAAAAAAAAAAAATGAAATACCAGTTAAATATGTTATGTGGTAGCGGAGGGGAATGATTCTCTACGTTTAAGTACTTCACGAGGATTAGTCATCAAGTAAATTCCTAAAACGGAATCTAGGTGAAGTTTTCACAGGAAGTCTCTGGCTAGCTGCAAAAAGGCAACTGTTATAGTAAAAGATCATTATATAAAAGATATGCAGAATTCATTTCTGCTAATTTTAATTTTTTTTTTAAATAAAAAGGGCTTAAAGGGTCAATCTAAATGCCATTACCACTTAATTTTACTAACGTGGTTATGGTGCAAAGACACAGGCCTTTCGTCTGTGTTCTCTCAATGGAATTGACGCCTGGGAGGCGATGCGTTCCAGGATGTTGCGAATGCGCTACTGAGAATTTTGTCTCCAGGCGCCAAAGTTCAAAGGCCCAGGCCATTTAAAAATCAATCATGCCTGTTTCGACAGCAAAGGGTATTTGCCATAAGTGGAAGGTCATTTTCACTAGCCACAGCACATCCTTGAGGCCAGTTAAGGTTTGGATTATGCATATTCATACATTTATTTGGGTCCTTCTTAGTAATTTGCACTAGTTACTTAGACCTACCTTGTATGTGAGTATATATATATACATATACACACACACACACATATATATATATATATAATAAAAGAAACACTAGATTAATTGTGGGGGGGAGCAGGAACTATTTAGGATATAAAATAAATGTAATAGTATAATATGGGAGGAGAGAGATAGTGAGAGAAAAGAAAGGTTTATCCTAAATAGTAGCTCCTGGTCCCCCCAATATTAATCTAGTGTTTCTTCTATTTAGCTTCTGATACAGTACTGGACCAGTTGAGCACAATTTAGCATATCATTTCCACACTCCCTCCACTTATCAGGATAGCAAACCCAATCCTTACTGGGTTATCTTCCCCTGTACTTGATTTTTATATACACACACATTTTTTTAGAGATGTCTACCCCAAAATCACCTGAAAAGATGGAGAAGGGAGGTAAGATGCAGACACCCCAGCAAAATGTAAGGCAACCAGCAAATCCAAATATTTCATTTGCGCAAAAGCAATATATCAAAATGGAAATACGTGATAAAACCATGCAACTAAAAGGGAAATATAAAAATGCACCGTAATAGGCGGGTATAGAGTAGTCAGAGATAATGAAAAAGATCAAAATTTACATTTAACCCATAAGGTGCCAGGTTATTTAATTTAAAAACCCAACTCATCTCTTTCTTTCCTAGTAGTTCGTGTCCTCTAATTTTTCATATTGACGCATTCTAATCTAAATGGCTTCCCTTCACAATTTTGTATAGTATCACAACCAGAAAGAAGAGACTCTGGTTCTGGTTGTTCCAACTGCCTACCTACACTCAACAAGAAATCACTATAACTTTTTTAAGCTACATCATCTCAACAGTTGTCAGAACCCAGAGTGTTTGGATTCAAGACCTGGAAGGGTGTCTCACAGGCCAAAGTAATGGAGATCCTGCAAAACCTTTTAAAAATATAAGATTGGCTAATGAACATCTGTGTGACATGACAGATCCTTATATTAGCTGCAAGGAATATGGGTGTCTCCTCTGTCGCCCATAGAGCTGTCTGGTTAAAACCCTGGTCTGCTGATACTGTGTTAACATCACTTTGAACCAGGAAAGTTGTTTGGTTCAGCCTTGGATGATAAAACACATTTTGGATACTAAAAACCTACTCCCTCAGGAAACGGATTTTAAATGAAACAAGCATTTTCAGCCACACTGGAAAGAAAATTTTCGACAGAGATGAAAACAGTCGGTAACTCTAAGGATCGTTGTAAATCGAAAGGATTACAAACCAAGGGAAAGGGTTCTTCTTCCAGGTTTGATAAAACCAGAAAGTGCCGATGCCAGAATAAAAGTTGGTGGACGTCTGAGGCATTTTGCAGAAGGTGAAGGTGTGGACTAAAGACAACCTTCTGAAGACACAGGAAAAGAACTTGTCAGCTGCAAGGACTGTGGCACGGTGCAGGAAATAAGGTAAGAAATTTAATGTTTCGACAAATGAAAGGGCAGGGATTACTAGAAGACATAAAATGATTAAATATGACTACACATAAATTATTCTTTGGACATAATTTACCTTTAAATTCGATCTGGAGTGCCCTTTTCATTGCTAAGGAGAAAACTGCTGCACAAACTATATAATAATAGAAAACAGGTTTTGTGATGGGAACAGGGAAGCTAAACAGTTTATAAGTCAAATCCATAATATCTACATTCTATCAATGTACAGACTGGTTAAGCGGACGCTTGCTGGAGAGCATTGAAAAGGCTCTTGGAGGTAGTAGGTTATCAGCGAAAATTAATTAGGTCTGCCTTAAATAAGGAAGATAGGGAATACACATTTAGCACATTTATAAAACAATAGGGACACACAAAAGTACTAAATACTTTGTATAAAATAAAAACAAATGAATAATGTTTGTGCTCATACTTCCACTAATTCTTGGTGGCAGCAATGCTATAATAGTCATTAACCCATACATAATATGAAAAAGATTACTTGCACGTTCTCCTTAATCCCAGTGCACATTTAAATAGAGGTTCTTAGTACCACTGCAATGGACATTCAAGTACTGCAAAAATACTGCACAAAATTAAAATAAAAAATAAAAAAAATTAAAGAAAAGTACCAAGTCTTTGATACCTTTCACTTCTTAAGTCGTTTGAGCTTTTTTCTTTTGCCATAGATCATGGAGGAGTCACAAGACAGGTTATGCGAAGTTTTTTTATGGCACACAATATGAACGAGCTTTATGTTTTCTACTGTGAAGAGCAAATTGTAAAAATATTGCCAGTTTATTTCTCTTCCATTGCATGCCTTCACAGCTTCAACCAGGCAGGGCACAATAGTTCGCTTCTTCTCAATTCTGAAAGATAATTGGAATAAAAAGGAAAATGAACTATTACACAGAGACAGAACTAAACAGCGCCACATTCTCAAGTTTTCTCATTAATTGTAACTTGTCCTAAATTCACCATAAAACTGCAAATTTTAGGCAAAATGGAAAAAAAAAAATCTTCAGCTCAGCTATTCTTCCAACTAGCTACTATGGTTTTATTTTGGCTCTGTCATCGTCTTCTGTCTTTGCATAATTAGCAAAGACCCTGATGGTGACTGCTCCGGTGGCGCAGGGAAAGGTGAGTTTTACTTCCCTGAACCTGTCCCTCACAGTTGCCGCAAAGGTCTTCAAAGCTCCATCTTTTGATAAGTTTTGGCAGGCATAGGAAATATACTAAAACAAGAGTCAGAGTCGGCACCACCGTTAGCCGAACTAGGCATTCGACTAGGGCGCCCACCGGGATATTTCCTGGTGGGCTCCCCCTGTCCTGAGCTGCAGCGCTGGGCGAGCGGCTCTAGAGCCGCCCCCCTCAGCACCGAGCTGATCCTCCAGGCATCTGAAAATGAGGGCCCCCGGAGGAGCTTTGTCATCGGGGGCCCAGGAGGTGGCCATAAGCTGTCATTTTTTTGGTATGGCAGAGCAGGTACCTGCTTACCCTGATGGCAGGTGCCTGCTCTGCCAATGAATGCCGGTGGGAGGAGAAGAGGCAGGCAGGCAGGCGGCGAGAGAGGCTCTTCTTGCAGACTGTCAGTGAGTGAATGTATGTATGTCAGTGAGTGAGTGTGTTCCTGTGTGTGTCTTTGACTGTCAGTGAGTGTGTTCCTGTGTGTGTGTTTGACTGTCAGTGTGTGTGTGTGTTTGTGTGTGTCAGTGAGTGAATGTATGTATGTCAGCGAGTGCCTGCCTGTGTCTGTCAGGGAGTGTGTAAGTGTTTGACTATCATTGTGTGTGTCTGCCTGTAAGTGTATGTATGTCAGTGAGTGTCTGCCTGTGTGTGTGTGTGTCTGTCAGTGAGTGTGTGAGTGTTTGACTGTCAGTGTGCATGTGAGTGAGTGAATGTCTGTCAGTGAGTGTTTGACTGTCAGTGAGTCTGTCAGTGAGTGAGTGTATGTCTTTCAGTGAGTGTCAGTTTGTGTGTGTGTGTCTGTCAGTGAGTATGTCTGTCAGTGAGTTTCTGTTTTGTGTTGGTCAGTGAGTGAGTGAGTGTGTCTGTCAGTGAGTGAGTGAGTGTGTCTGTCAGTGTGTCTGTGTCTGTCAGTGAAAGAGTCACATGAGGGGGCGGCAAAATGGAAATCCTTGCACCGGCCCTGAAAAGAGAATCCCAACTTTGTCTTAGTATATTTTTTGACTGTGTTGGAATATCAGTTTATTTCAGTGAAATTCCAACACAGTAAATGCGAGTATTCATAAAAATTTTATTTTTATGAAATACACATTTTACAGGAGTGAGGGGTTGGGAGCCTCTTTAAATTTGCAATTCTCTGGTGAATTTCCATCAGCTCCCTGTTTGTGTTCTTTTCCACAAAATATCTATTTTATACCAGCTATTGCAGATGTGATAAATGTAATTCTTGATATCATCTTTACTGTACCTTAAACGTCAATAGCAAAGATGAGCCTTTGTGACAGTTTTTTTTACGTTTGTTGTTGGATATATTAAGCAGTATTCACTTTTACTTTTCAAGTAAAGGAAAAGCAACATCACATGATCTTGAGGTCTGAAATAGTCCTGACCGATGATTTTACGAAATGTGTAGGGAGGCCAAACTAGTGCTGCATAAACAAAGCGATTTAACTTTTAACTGGCAGAGATTTTAGCAGTTAGACTACAGGGACATGATCTATACACCAAAACCACTCCATTAAGCTAAAGTTGTTTTGATGATTATAGTGTCCCTTTAATTATAACCATTCAGTTCTGTATTCCATTAATCACACTTGAAGTTTACTATAAACTATTAAAGGGTTATGTGCACGTATGTACAAAAATCTAACAGGCAGTATATTCAATGTTTAAAATATTTTTCCTTCATTTTATTAAAACATTTTTCCTTATGGAAGCCTTGCATCGTTACATAATAATCTAGGTTGGAAAAAAAAGACCTGAATCCATCAAGTCCAACCTTGAAACCAATTATTTTATGCTGTTGAGACAAATGAAGGCAAAAAAAAAAAACAATTTCCAATTATGCCATGCAAAAAGGAAAACAATCTTTTTGACTCCATAATGACTCTTTGAATCAACAAACTGTTCAAATACATATTAATTATAGAAAACAAATTTAAGGTATTTAAGTATTTGAATTTATATGCAGGAATGAGGGTTTACCCCTAATGTGATCAGTTTTATAAAAAAGACAAAAAACATAGGGATAGAAAGGATATATAAAACCCCTACAGAACGTAGAGTAACCCGAAGATAAAACTTAAAATTTATTTAAAAGTTGTTTTATCTTCGGGTTCCTCCACGTTCTATAGGGAATTTCTATATCCTTTATATCTATATTTTTTTGTCTTTTTTATAAAAACATGTTAATAAAATATTTTCTTTTTACAAAAAAAAATAAAAAAAATAAAAACATCCAGGCCTTTTTAAAAAAACAAAACAAAAAAAAAACTGTAGAATATGATAAGAGAACAACTTTAGGTAGAGAATTCCACATCTTTATTGTTCTTACAATAAAGAACCCTTTCATCTACTGTAGTGGGTGGCCTCTTTCCTCTTGTATTTTGTGCTAATGAACAGGATACAAGATAGCAGTTCGTACTGACCTTGTATATATTTGTATAGTGCTATCATATCCTCTGAGGCACCTTTTTCCTAAAGAAAATAGTTTTCTATTCCCCCTATTGATTCTCACCAATTTATCCAAATGCCTCTATTGAAAAGTTATATCATGTTCAGACTGTATTATCTCATCCAGTTTTATCTCATCTGTACACACATGGCTTTCAATGCTCACTTCAAGATCATTTATTGTGGCAGAACCAGCCTCGCCACTGAGCATTGGAGAAGACTGATTGCCAGCCTCCTGCCATGTGACTATGGTACCTGGAATGTATTGCCTGCACTCCTGTACTGCTGAGGTTTGCTACCAACTAGGTGGATTTGGCTATGGAGCTTGTGTAGTGCCCTCTGTTGGCAGCAACAGTAATATGCACTACCTGAATAGCAAGACTGGTAATTTGCATATTCGGGTAGATTTGCATATCGCTAATTCTGCATGCAGGAGAGACATTTTATGTTAATTATTGTCTTCCCCACCCATTTATAAATATGTAATTATCTTATAATAAGTCACTGTATGTTGCCTGCTATGATTTGACTGTTTGTAATTTTATTGAGTTTTCACAGCAATGTTAATGTAATGACCATATGGGCTAGTCCCAAGTAAAATAAAGTTTTAGACAGTTCTACTTCACCCTCAATATGGATGCTCTGCATATTCCTTTGCTATAATCACTCCTAAGCTCTTTTAAGAGCTTGTTCCTGCTTTGCTCTGAAGGAAGAGAGATTCGGCCTGCGGTGGTTGTAGTGTCGGCTAGAGTGCTTGGAATCCTCAAGAAGCGCTAGGAGCATCCATCAACGGAGGTACCCAGTTGGGGTGCCAGGTGATCCACAATTGGTGGCAAGCGACGGGATCATTCCCACAGCCCAGAAGGACAGCTACAAGACAACACCAGTTTGTGGAGTCACAAATTGAGGGCAACACTAGTACCCATACAGCGCCCCTATCTACAAAAGAAGCAACTTCAGCAGAGCTAGCATGGCACACCAGCTACACTCAGGAGGAGTCTGACAGAGAGTTTACATCGTGGCTGGCTTTCTACAGACTCAAGCCCCCGGAAAGATCCGTGCAGCTCGTGAGGAGACGCGTGGAAGAGTACGTGCAGGTCAAAGCAGAGCGGGCACGTGAGTTGGCAGGTTGGGAGAGACCCCAGCGGCCGAGCAAGTTACAGGGAGAGAAATGTGTTGTCCTTCCTCCCCAGCGACAGTGCGACAGCTACACTCAGGAGGAGTTTGACAGAGAGCTGAGATCGCGGCTGGATTTCTTTGGACCCAACCCCCCGGAGAGATCTGTGCAGCTCGTGAGGAGACACGTGGAAGAGTACCTGCAGATCAAAGCAGAGCGGGCACATGAGTTGGCAGGTTGGAAGAAAGCCCAGCAGCCGAGCAAGTTACAGGGAGAGAATCGTGTTGTCCTTCCTCCCCAGCGGCAGTATGTATCCCAGGGAGCTGAAGGTGCCATCCTTCCTCCCCAGCAGCAGTGTGTGTTCTTAGGAGAGGAGACAGTTGGTCCCTCTCCCCAGCGGTCAAGTGAGTCCCAGGGAGCTGAAGGTGCCGTCCTTCCTCCCCAGCGGCAGTGTGTCCGGCAGGGAGCAGAGACCATTGGTCTCGCTCTCCAGCAGCGGGACAATATATTGAAAGGGGAGACAGTCGGTCCTCCTCTCCACCAGCAGAGAGAGTGTAAGGGAGAGGAGCTTGTTACCCCCTCTCCCCAGCGGCAGCGTAGCCCACCAAGGGGAGACATTAAGCTCCCCACCGGCGCAGATGGGACCATGGCAGAGTATTAAGCTCCCAAGCGGCAGAGTTTTCTACCGGGAGGGGAGAGCCTCGTTCCCCCTCCCCAGCAGCAGCCTAGCCCACCAAGGGGAGATGATAAGCCCCACACCGGTGCAGATAGGACCGTGGTCTCTGTGCCCAAACCACAGGGGGTCGGGACGGTCGGTCCTGTCCCCCAGCAGCAGGGCTGGTTATCCAAAGGGGAGACAGCATGTCTTCCCCTCCAGCAGCAACACTAGGTCCAGGGTGAGGAGACTACTACCCCTTCTCCTCAGTTGGGCTCCAACCAGGCTACTCCCATGGTAGCGCTGGTACCAGGGCAGAGTACCACTGGTCTCTGCCCACTCAGCAACCCACTGAGCTCCTGGACATGGAAAAGCGACCCACTACCCCACGTGTAGTAACCAATTCCGGTGGGTGGGTTATACTGCAGATTCTGTTTTGTGGGTCGGTTGCTGGACTAACCAGGGCACTGACCGACAGGAGATCAGATACCCTGTTAGTCTGGATGGTAAAGGGGAAAAATGTGGCGGAACCAGCCTCGCCACTGTCCACTGGAGAAGCCTGGTTGCTCGCCTGCTCCCTTTAGACTATGGCCCGGCATTTAAAACCTTTTATTTTCCCTGCAGAAAGCCGTATTCGTGCTTTTCTGCCGGGGTGTTTGGTAGATTCAATCTACCGAACGATCAACCACCTGGGAACTGGAGTGTGCCATTAATTGAACCGAATGACTGACCGTATGAACAGCATCACCCCAGATAGCTATGCCATGGCTATTGAACTGTATGTATGTGATCTCAGCGCCATTCGGTAATAATGTGTGCTCAGATCTAAGCTATCTGGGGATATGTAGAATGTGTGTGTTTTATGTGATAAAGGTAACCGTATGTAATTTTATGTCTTTTTACTGAAAATGTGTGTAATGGTGTTTTGACTCTGTCCTTGGAGACAATTGGATTGTGATGCATTGTGGGATTGTTGAAATGTGTAAATCTGTGATTGGTCCTTAAAAGCCGGGCAGGTAGCCCCAGTAAACCCTCAAAATGAAGTGTCGTCTCGTTCTTGGGGGGAATTGGATTGTATACGGATTGCCAGGAGTGTAAGCTGATTGTATGCTTTTCCTTCTCGTCTGTTTCCAGTATTCGTGTGTTTCTGGTTCGGGAGTTGGAGGATTCATGTAGTTTGCAGCTCGGGAGATTGGTGCTTGCAGTAGCTGTCCGTGCATCTGAAAAGGGGAATATCGCCTAAACGGTTTTTAACCTCGTGTGCAGAATGGTCCGTTACATTTATAAACAGATTAAAAAGAATCTGACCCCAGTGGCATCTCCAGGATTCATATTATATATATATACACACACACACACACACATAAATACACTGGGCTCAACAAATCCCAGGTTGCCATGGCTACTAGACATTTTGCCCTGGCACCTGGCATTTGTCAGCCCTTTGCTAAGCTGCTCAGGAAACATTAAAGCTGGCCACCTCGGGGAGCATGGAGGCGGCATGCGAGGGAGCAGTAACCTTCCTGCAGTTCCTCTCTGCTCCCTTGCACGCTGTTTAGTGACATGATGTCACTCCGGCCCCGGCATCACTAAAGAGAGCGCACAGGGAAGCAGAGAGAAACTGCAGGAAGATAGACACACTGGACACCAGGGAAAGATCCACTCAGCTCTCCCAAAAGTAGGAAGTCTGGGTGGATTAAAATTAAAATAAAATTACCAATTTGTGAGTGTGTATGTCTCAGTCAGAGAGTGTATGCCTGTCACAGTGTGTGTCTCAGTCAGACATTGGGGCGGGCTTGCGTACGGTGAGGCGATCTTCCATGCAGGGGCAGAGCTTGTGTGCAGAGGAAGCTACTACACAGTGGCGGTACTAATGTAAAGTGGGCCCTGGTGCAAAAACTGTTTTGGGCCCCTGACGACACATACCCATCAGGTGGACCTAATTGCACAGGCCATTCGATGGGCCCTGGTGTAAAAGCGAAACACCAGCACTGCCTGTAGTTCCACCGCTACGCCTTCCTTATTACACAAGACAAGACACCTTTTCACAGAAACTGGAAAACATTTTCAGGAGATGCAAGATATAATTTTCCATGGCGTTTAGAAGGGGCTGTGGTGAAGTGTGTGTGTGTATATAGGAGTCTGGTTATGGTGTACTATGTGTAACTAGGGACTGTAGTGTGAGCACATGCTCATGTATAGGAGCTTTTGAGATTGTGTGTGTGCTGAAAGGGCCTGTAAAGTGTTTGCGTGTGCATCTAGGGGCTGCATTGTGAGTGTATGTGTATTGGGGTTGCATTGTGTGCTTAACAAGGAGTTGTAGTGTGTATGTATATGTGTGTGTATATATAAATATATACATGAGATTCAGTGTGTAATGGGGTGAAGTATGTATGTATGTATGTATGTGTGTGGGGGTGAAGGTATGTGGAAGAAGGAAGAAGTGTATATGTGGTTGAAGAGATGATGTGTGTGATAGGTGCACTGTGTGTGTATGCGAATGTGTACTCTGTGTTGGTTGGAGTGTACTGTATGTGGGGGTTTACGGTCTGTTAGGGTGTACTGTGTTCAGGGGGGTGTAGAGAGTGGGATAGGGAAGAGCTTTACAATTTTTACTTTCATAATTGTTTTTTTTTTTAAAGAATATTCCCCTTTCCCTGATTTTACCTTGCAGGGAGGGGGTGGCACAATCAGATTCGTGGTGGTTAAAAAGGCTGCCTATCCATCGGTTAGAGGGGAGGTCACGAGATGAGAGGTATCTCTCTTGAAGCTCAGGCACCTACACAGACTGACCCATACAAACCCACAGACTGACCCATACACACACACACACACACACAGACTGACTGACCCATTCACACAGACTGAACCTCGCCACCCCCACACACAGACTGAACCACACACACACACAGACTGACCCATTCACACAGACTGAACCTCCCCACCCCCACACACAGACTGAACCACACACACTGACTCACTTACCAGCAGCTGTCTGGATGCCTCTGTGCAACCTCTCCCTGTCTCTCCCCTGTGCTGACCCAGGAGGAATTCCTCCCAGCACAGTGCCCCCTCTGGCCACTCGTGGGAAAAGGATACACTGCACTCCCAAGCACACAGTGCTCCACTGCACCCCCATACACACACTGTCTCACATACACACGCTGCACCCCTCGCACACTCACTGCCTCCCATACACACATACTGCACCACACACACACACAAACACATTACTAGAGCCCTGTGCCCTACTACAGACCCTATCCTGGCAGACCCCAGGTAAATTGTCAAACTGTCCACGGCACTCGGGCACCAAAACAACTACCGAGAGCTGTAGTGGTTATTGTGCCTGAATTGTTTCTTTAAATAATCTATGAGTGCCACCGAGATAAGGCTCTGGATCCGCCCTTGCACCTAATGTCACCTTATGGTTGACTCCTTAAGTACAGAGCAAATGTACAAGTTCTGACCAAAACAAAACCTTGAATTTGTGCTATATGTCTATTCAACCATAAGTCACCTCTTTCATATTAAAATTGTATTCCTATTATTTCTCTAATCCCCTTGCAATATCTCCATATTTATTCAGTTTAACAGATGCAATTACATATGAGTGTAAGAAAAGTTGTATTCCTAGCACTATAGCTCCCTCGAACCCCCCCACCCAGCATAGAAAGAGTTGAAATGCCCTTACTGTACTTACCAATTCCAGCGCCTCGCTCCGCCCCCTCCAACGTCACCTGGTGCCTCAGACATATTATAGGCAATAATACAACTAGCAATACCATATTTGTGATAGATCCACTTTAGTATCTAAGTTAAACTTACATGTGGTCCAGATTCCATGTACTGAATAGAATTCGGCTCTCTCTGTTACTGTAGGGATTAATGGAGTGCTTTGAAATGCAGGCCTCAACATCAAACGGACCCTGGAAGACAATTTGCTTGAGTTTTTCATTCCATGTATGCATGTTAAGATATAGAAAATATATAAAACTTCATAAACAAAGTTTCATTAACAAGAGGAAAAACAGATTCATAACTAAGGATTTACAAATGTAACTTGGTTTTATTGGAAATGAACACTTAGCGTTTTGCAAAACAAACAGTTTAATGTATGGGAAAGATGTGTCCAACATGTTCAGCAGAGATGTACAAGTTACTACATAAACACACATAATTAGAACAAAACAATTGATAATCTCCTGGTTTACGGCTTAAGGGTGTCACGTATTCATCCGCTTATAAAAATGTGGTTAATGACATTTACTGTCCACACAGGAAAAGTTGTGCCGAGCAGCAACCAAATCCACAGAAGGGTTAATGATGAGCAGCAATTATGCAAATGTAACCTGGTAACTGCCTTTGGGGTCCAAGGCCGGTTACAGCCTATCAGACCTAGAGGAGGGGTATTTAGGCCCAGTTCTCATCCTGCTCAGTGCCCTGTCGTTGTTTCCCTTGTGGTTGTCCGAGAGCGTGGTATTGATTCTGGTTATTCTGGTTATTTGACTTTGGCATTGTTTTTGACTTCCCTGTTTTCTGGCATCCCTGACTCCTGGCTTTTCCTTATCGTTGTGTCTCTTTCTGTTTCCCTTGACCTCGGCTATTCCTGACTATTTTTTGATATGTTAGTGCGGCCATTCTAAGGTCCGGTATACGTTACCTATCAGTCCTCTGTGTTACACAATTCTACGTGCTGGATCATTCTGTAATCCTGACAAAGGGACACTTAATCTTTATCTTAAGACTTTATCTTAATGGAGTGGTTTTGGTGTATAGGTGATGTCCCTGCAGTCTAATTGCTTAATTCTCTGCTAGGTGTTAAATGACTTTGTTTATGCAGCCTAGTCACATCTTCCCTGCATATGACTTACATCCTCCTCTCTGCCGTAATGGTAGTTAAGAGATAGATGGTGGGGGCGTGTATGTAATTGTTTCAATACACGCCCACCATGGATGGGTCCTTATGTGATCGATCATAGGAGGGACGAACAAAGGGCGGAGTGGGACAATGATGTACCTATAGCCCTTTCATCTACACGCCCATCGCAGTATAAATATACGGCTGACAACCGCAATGTGGGAGGTTCCCTTGGGCGGACTTGATGATACTCTTCACCGCCCATTAGTAATACTGTCCCACCGATCCATGAAAATTACACCCTGGATTGGGTAACCGGCAATATTGTGATCAGGATAGGAGGAGCTAGGGGTGGTTTGGCAGAGTATCATGCTGCCCCCCTATTGGAACCTACCTACACACCTGATCACATTTTCCATTGAGTGGGGAGACTCATTTCCTGATTTTGTTAACTTAGATCCTAGTAGGACAAGGGTGGTCTGGGGGGTGCTTGACTCTGACACAGCTACCTAGGGAAAGCATTAGAACACCCATGAAGGTGTTTCCTAGGAGCATTAGGGATACTATGTAGCTATTGATGCTGTTAGACTAAATTCAGCGAAGCCAGTGATCCGCTCATGCTTTTTCCTATATAGCTGATTGCTCTACTAACCTCTACTTTACTTATATCTAGAGACCATATGTATGGTCCTCTGTTGTCTAATGACTATCATTCATTAGCTACTCTGTACCTCCTACACCACCTATTTTTCTGGTTTCAGCTCAGCACACCGTTTAGGCGATAGATCCAATAGAGCTATTTAGTCAGTTTGTTTGGAGATATATCTATAGCCGATACTGCCAATTTTTGTGTTGCTCTGAAGTGGTTTCACCTTATGATCCAATTAGCTGAGCTGATACTTGTTGATATTTTAGGGTCCTGCCCTGGTGTTGCCTCCTGATATATCGTTTTTATGTTGGTAATTAATAAAGTATTTTCAGAGTGGATATTATGGGAGACTCTTTATCCAGGAGCAGTTTACCCTTTTCCTACTCCTCTAGGATTTAAGTATATTTTAACAGGTTGCATTCTTTTCTTTTTGCACTACCCCCAATTTATTTAATAAAGCAAGCATAGGCACCCAGATCACTTCTGCCCATTTGAGTGGTTTGGGTGCCAACTCCCACTACCCTTAACCCTGCAAGTGTAATTTACCTTGAAGGGTTAAGTACTCCTCTAGTAGCTGTCTACTAGACAGCCATTAGAGGACACTTCCGTGCTCATAGAACAAGAAAAGTGTGCTATAACCTCGCTGGACGTCCTCACGCTATGTAAGGAACTCCAGCGTTAGTGAAATCCCCGTAAGAAAGCATTATTCAATGCTTCCCATTGGGAGATCTAATGCGCATGCTCAATAGGAGTGTGGGCAGACCCTGACCCAGCGCCGAGGGACATCGGCGCTGGATACAGGTAAGTCACTGAAGGGGTTTTAACAACATGGGATGGGGGGTGGGAGGGAGAGGGGACCTGCAGTGCCAGGAAAATAGTTTTCCTGGCATTGGAGAGTCCCTTTAAGAGTTGCATTCTGTTTGCTCAGTAATACTTGGTTGTGGCCAAGGGTGATTCTAAAGTTTATGTTTTGTTAACTAATGGGCCGCCCAAAACCCTTGTTATGCCTCTACCCAAAGGCTTTCCTGAATCAGAGATACACAATTATCCCAAGCTGCAGTTCTAGTGGACAGAATTACATACAGCACAGGTCACAGGCACAGGTTGGGAGAAAGACAGTACAGGTCCCAAAATTACACACAAGTAAGCAAGCAGTAAGTTATAATTAGCACTAACTTATAAATAGCAGATAAGTAAGGTAGCAGTAAATTACTATCAGAATACAGGTTATTTAGTAGTTAGTTATACTTAACAGACAAGTTATTTAGCAGTTAGTTATTACCTGGCACGTAAGATGGCCGGATGTATTTTGTATTAGCTCCTGCTGCACTGATCTAAAATATTGTCACTTATACAGAAATCTGTGCCATTTGGGTTCCTAAGCCACTCGTGAATTGCAAATCTTGAAACTAGCTACTTGTTACACCTGAATAGGGGAGGCCACTTTGGCTACATACTTTGTTTGACCTCGAGATCCCACGACACCGATAGCCCGGTATCTGGGAGAGGCGGCCGATCTCCCGACTTTGGCACCGCATCTCGCAGCAAACCACTTGCAGCACCGTCACCCCAATAAGATCATTCCTTTTAGACTTTAAGTGCTTAAGAGAAATGAATTCTGTATGATGATGCTAATTTAATTTGCCTTTGGTGAATAGCTGAAAAGGTTGAGTTTGTTTGAAACAACATCATTTAGACAAGGCGTGTCTCTTTTTTTCACACTTGTTCCCAGTAATTTTACCTATAATATGAAATTTAGACTAGGATGCTACTTACATTCTTTAGGACAAGGTTTAGGCAAACATTTGTTATTAGAACATCTTGACATGTTGTTGGTCCTAGAGGAGTTAAAGGACCACTATAGTGCCAGGAAAACATACTCGTTTTCCTGGCACTATAGTGCCCTGAAGATGCCCCCACCCTCAGGGTCCCACTCCCGCCGGGCTCTGGGGAGAGGAAAGGGGTTAAACGTACCTTTTTTCCAGCACCGGGCGGGGAGCTCTCCTCCTCCTCCGATCCTCCTCTTCAGGAGCTGCGCGCGCATTCAGCCGTTCTCATAGGAAAGCATTTATAATGCTTTCCTATGGACGCTGGCGTCTTCTCACTGTGATTTTCACAGTGAGAAGCATGCAAACGCCTCTAGCGGCTGTCAATGAGTGTAAAATCTGGTTTAGAATCGTCACTGTTAAATCTTCTTAATTTCTTCAGTGGATTGATATATATATATATATACATATATATATACACACACACACACACACACACGTCTTTTGTATATATAGTCTTGGGCCAAATGCTCGCCACAATAATATATGTCTATATTATTGAAAAGTACTAATACGCAATCTGACTTCCGGTTTCTTCAGGTTTATTCTTAGTTACGGATACATAATAAAACAACAAATGATGTTACAGGATAATGGACATTCAACAGCAGGTGGTAATTGCTGGACTTCTTTACATCCTTACATCTTTACATCGAGAGAGAGAGAGCCAGAGAGAGCCAATAGCCAAGAGAGACAAAGCGACCTCGTGCCCCTCTGTTACCATACAGAAGTGCCCATACTGACGTCAGAGCAGAACTCTTGCCATATAAGGAAATCAACATTCCAGAGCTCTCGGACAAAGAAAGCCTTGTGACTTATTGATACCATCTGTTACTTATGTCAATCCACACATCCATATATATATAATCAATAGAAACATAGAATATTTATAAACATAGCAGTTTTCTCTGAAACTGCTATGTTTATAAATAAAAGGGTTAATCCTAGAGGGACCTGGCACCCACACCACTTCATTAAGCTGAAGTGGTCTGGGTGCCTAGAGTGGTCCTTTAAGTAAATCTTGGGAATGTTTTGCCCCATCTCACCCCCTAGAGCAGAGGTGCCCAAAATGTAGACCGCAGATGTTGTAGAACTACAACTCCCATTATGCTTTGCATGCTTTTAGAATGACAAAGCATCCTGTAAGCTGTAGTTTTAAAACATTTGGGATCTACCTATTGGGCACCCCTGCCCTACAGCAATGTCCATAAACGCACGTGTGCTTCTTTAACAATTAGGAAAGATAGCAGGTATGCTGGTGTATTTTGAATCCAGTGGTTTTAGTTTTTTATATTATTGCTAAGCCATGATTCTGCCATTCTATAATGAAACAACTTTAAAGTTCTAAAATTATCCTGTAAATTATATTGCAAGCAACAGCACTGAATGAAATATAACTGAATAAAAAATACCATAGCATGGCCCTTATTTTGGTAACTACATTTCTTAACATGTGCACATTTTTTCAGACTTTCAGATTTTTTCTTATTTCCTAAATGTTTTCCCCTTTTTTTTTTTAAATATATATTTTTCTTGCCCTTGGCAGAAATCTGTGCTTTCTGCCGTTTCATTAGTAATGTTGTAAATTGAAAATGTGTCTTACTTGGCAAGAAAACCATCCTTCCGAAGTACAAAGACGATTAGCCTTCTGTTCTGTTCGATCAAAGTAACGGCCATTGTATCTCACAGCTTTCAACTCGTTGCTCATAGTCTCTGTGATCCTCTTGTACTCATCCCTTGCCACTGGATCTACAATAGCACCGAAGCTCTGCACCTAGAGACAAGACAACAACTTCAAAGAAGCCACTAGGTATCTTGGAATTCTTATGAAATCTGCTTGTACAACCAACTGAGAGGCCAAATATATGGCACCTTTTAAAAATGAAATGGATGCATTGAAAAGTGCAAAGTATTCACAACTTTCAAAGACAGACTGCCTGCTTCTTTTTGTCATTAGCAAAGATTCGGGGGGAGGAGGGGGGATAAATGCTATTTAATGATGTTTTGGCCGTGGCTAACTGTCCCACTGTATTCTTTGTACTCTTAGTGTTTAACATGCAGATAGTTTTTCTATGACACAGAGTAACAATTGCCTAATCGTTTCTAACGATTTATTCAACGGTCATTAATTTCTCCTTTGTGTATCTCTTTATGTCCTTAATGTACTCTAAAACTATTAATGTATTACATGTCGAAAATATTTTGTTTCTCATAATTTCCCTTGTAAGTACTTATCAGTGTCCCTCTTCCTCTTCCATACACAGCAGGCACAGAAAGTAACGCATATAATTAAATATTATTCATTTATAAGCACCAGCATTTCCTGCAGCGCTGTATAATTCTTAAAGCATAAAAGTAATTGATGACAATCGCTTTCAAATATAAAAGACCAAGAGGTCCTGCAAAACTTTAGTGTGACACTCCAAGTGTCTGGTTTTATGATAGTTCCCTTATGGAAAAGGATGTAAACTTTAAACTATATACTGAGAAATGTTGTTTATTTACAACACTGTGTTCTTATTGGTAACTTCATTATTTATGACATGATTTTCTCAAAGTGTTTCGGTCCAACAAATATTTTTTTCCGTTTTTATTTCCATTAAACAATGTGCTATCTATACAAACTGAAGCAAAAAAAATAAATGTAAACATTACTTTCCAGGACGCCCAAAATACTGTGATTTTGGGGATGTTTTTTATGTGCAAAATCAGTTTGTAGTGAAGGGCTAAACATCATACCAACAATTGCATTCTGTGAGCAGGAACACATTATACAGCATCATGCATACAAATAATAAAATATACTTTGGGGGAGGGGGTTGCATTATGTCAGTTTTATGTTTTGTGGTTTTTCTTTTGTCTAATTTGAAATATTCACATTACATTCTATTCCATAGTGACACATGCATAAATACACTTACTCACTGCTTCTTATTCATTAAGTATATGAAAAATCTGAGATGTACTGGCATTCCATAAATCTCTGCTGTGGAGGTATTTATGGGATATGTATAGATCCACAATTCTCTAGAATACATTGAATGTAGAATACAACCTGATGTGTCACTTTGAAGGAGATAGACACCCTAACCACTGCATGATGATGGATCATTTATGGTGCCATTATACTGCAGACATAGTTTTCTGATTTGTGGTCAATTCGTTTTCAAGCTATCTGACCAAAACATGCGTTATCGATGCAAGAACTGCCAGGTTTTCTCTAGTCTATTGCTATACGGAGGTTCCACTTCTGCATATGCAATATCAATTTCTTCCATGTTTTAATGCCATTCTTTGGTTCAGCCCATTTGGTGACCTGCTCAACAAATGACTTGCTTTAAAACTTGAATAAAATATACTGCCAATGTGTAAGTTCCACTTCTGAATGAGCAATTCTAGCGAGCAGGGGCCTCTTCAACCCTCAGTTTGGGTTATGATTATGGTGACTAGACTGCTCCTTTACATATGCAATTCAGTTAGCCTTACGCAGACCATCTATCTGTAGCATATAAATAGTGCAAGGATTTAAAAAAAAAAAAACACTATCATGCATTACCTCTTTCATATAACTTCGAATCCGGCTTTCACAGCTGTACCTCATGTAACTAGATTTGTTTCTGAATCGAGGTTCTAAACCTAAGAAAAAAATAAGACAAACATTTTATAGTTTGCTGTTCAGTTAATTAAAATACAGTACTTAAATTACAGTAATGCAATCTTCAACAAACCTATTGGTTTGCCAAGCATCAAAGTCTTAGTCTGCAGTTGTTAGAGTGCTGAAGATTTCTTATTCACTCCATACCTCCAAAAAAAAAGAATTTGGCAAACTAATGAGGCCTCTCCTGCTCGAACTTTAAGATGTATGGGACACGTCCTGAGCATGCAAAATAAAGAGCAACTTGGTCAGCTTATAAAAATGACATATCGGCTTATGCAAATGAATTAAAGCCACATGCAACTTCTTTTTACTGTCATGTGTGGGTGTCATTGATTTTGAGAAGCCGCTTGTGGTGTTACAATGAATGTTCAAACCGCCATCACTGACATGACTGATGCCTGTATGTGATGTTGTGCAAGAGATTGTGCTCTGAAATTTTCACATTTCAAAAAGTTAGAGACAAGACTTGGCTTGGATAAGCTAGCCAGTGGGCAGCTGTCTGAGTAACCACAAATGAAATATTGGTTGGGGAATGGCGAAAATTAAAATGAAGAAGAAACCGTTCTGAAAAAAAGGCAGTATTAATGTCAAATAAATAGCAGCAAAGCACTTCAAAACTACAGTGACACAGTAAGATCTTGTTCTCGGACTGGTGATGTTGCAATCACTGTTAGGAGTATCGACACTGATGTTTAAAAGCTCCCCGACAATTTCAGAAGTCCTATCTGAAGAGGCCCCCCATAGATAATCCCAACTTTTCTTTAAACAGACAAAATCCCACTCATATGTAATTGTGTCTGTTTAACTGAATAAATATGGAGATATTGCTAAGGGGATTAAAGAAATTTGTATTCACAAAATGTGACTGTAGAGTGGAAATTTTCAAGAGACAGATGTTCTGTTGCTTAGTGATAGAGACTGTAATGTTGACTTGAGCATAATAATGTACAATAAAGGAAATCACTCTGAATGAGGCAATCTACAGACCTTTTGAAAGATTACTAAGAAACTGAGCGTGGGTTTCTGAACATAGTAGCAGCAATAATTATATTTTATTAACTATTGGTGGTGTTGTCAAGTTCATGAACTATTATTCCTTCAAATTCCCAAACTGTTACAGTGTGTGGCAAAGCTCCTATACTCAGTCTGAGTATCTCCGCCAAGTATTCCCTTTCCCTGGTGCAGGAGGTTTAGAGTCATTATGTCAGTGCTCACAATCCACAGCCGAGACTTGACTTGATGAAGGGTAAAAGCAGGAACAACAGGCTAGTTTACAGCACACAATACATGCCCCACCCTGGCGCCTTGGTGTCTGGGACATAACTGAATCACACAGGACACAGAGCTCCCTCAAGTTCTTAGTGTCTTTGGATACCTCATCACCTCCCTGTTTCCCTTCCAAAAAGCACCCTAGTTGATAGTCTTTGGACAGAGTGCTATCCAAGTAAAGTTTCACCAGATAGCAGACTCGAAATCCGATACACAATCCCATGCAGTTTCTGGGTAGCTCCCGGTCGCACGCGCCATCTTACAAGTCCCTGATGGCAACTGGTTGTCCGATTCAGCTCCACAATGTCCGGTAGGGCAAATGCACCGCATGGAAGGGACACCTAAGTGATTATAGTTCTTTGTAGAGAGGTGTTGGCTGGGAGTCCTACACGAGTAGTCATCTTGACTGGGGTGGACCATAACAGAGTACAAAACACCAACATACAATAAGGTTGAAGAGAGCATCAAGAAAAACACGAAAGTATAACAAGTGTAATTACATTATGGAGGGATATTGTCTCTGGCTGAGGGTAAACGTCAAGAAAGCTCTGCCTGGAGTCCATTACATTTTTTTTTGGGGGTGGGGGGGGAAATTCCCCAGCACCTTTCTGACACAGATGTGATTATGAGAAAAGTCAACATGGACAGCTATCACTTCACCGGCCCGGGTTCGCTGTCACAGGATGACTGGCAGGTGGGAAGCATGCCGGTCAGAATAAGTAGCAGCGTGACCACCAGACCGGGGTAGAGGGGTCTCTGTTTCCCTCTTCCTGGTCAAAGGGGAAGTGCTCACTTAGAGGGAGCTTTCTGTCAGACTGGGTACCGAGGCCCGCTCTGCCACGCTGCAGTAGAGAGCAAGTACAGTGGGGAATGGTGGAAAGACACCTGGAGGGACGAGCAACTAAAATAGCCATAGCTATGATGCTTGGCATGTACCTTTAAGAAGGTTGTTGAACATGTAAATTTCAAAGTGCAGTTGGTGTGCATATGTATAACGGTTTGGAATACTAGCAGCCTCTAGGAAAGCAGTTTGTAAAAATGTACCCACAGCTCTCAAGAGGACACATGAGCTACTAATCTATCTGAAAAACTGGACTTCACTTCTCTATATTGTGTCTCTCTGAAATTAGGAGTGGTGGTGAGTAATTCTGATGTCGCTGAAATATAAATGAATGGTTACTGCATGCATACCCATAAACAGGGACCTCACAGATACTCTCAACAACTGAAACAGTAAACTCCCTAGAGTCCCATAATAGAATATGTGCTATCAAAGGCACATTCATATGTCTCCTTTTCCCAAAGAAAGAGATCAGGAGATTAAACAAATGTAGTTTTTATTCTTCTAGATAAACTAGGAATCCTCATTTTTGTATCGTAATGATTGAAGTTGTTGATTAATGAACAGATGAAATAAATCATATTTCACAACGAAAGATACGCTGACCTTCAAACCATGGTTGATCATCTTCTCGACTTTCAGCCAAGATATTCTCCTTCAAATTTTGGATAAAATCTGCAAGCATTTTTTGTCTTTCAGGAGCATTTTCATCTGATAGCAATTTCTGTGCCGCTTCCACAACATCCGTTTGCCTTTTGTAAAATGCATTCAGAAACCGATCAATGTCCGTGACGTCTTTTATGGCCCCCCCCCAAAAAAAAAAAAAGAAAAGAAAAATACATGAACACAATGTGTTAGAAAAAAATAATAATACATAATAATAATTTTATATCTATTAACAAAAAATAAAATTTTTCCAACCACCAATAACAAAGGTCATGAATACCAAAAAGGTGTGTGTTTATAAATTACATATATGTAACCAAAAAAGAGTTGTGGTGGGGAAAAAAGTATGGATGAAAACCCCTACCACCTGAAGTAAGTGATAGTTAAGACATTGTTAAACACAAGTCTGCACACACCAGTCAAGCCATAAGACTTGCTTTTACCACATAAATCTCACTTAGTGCTCTCACTGCTGCAAGGGATTCTGGGTGCGCTTAAATGTGGTTCTTTGTTGAGATAATTTGCATAGGCCCACCCAGAAGAGTGAGAGCACTGTTAAAGTGAGAATTCTGTGGTAAAAGCAAGTCTTATGGCTTGACTGGTGTGTGCAGACTTGTGTTTAACAATGTTTTTAAAAAAAAAAAAAAAAAATATATATATATATATATATATATATATATATATTATTATTATTTTTTTTTTTTTTTAAACAGCTTGCAAAAGCGGAAAAAAACTCCCAAATGCAGCTCATTGAGAAGTCTTTGTATGGAAGGTGCTCTGAGCAATTGCTGCCTCTTGAGTTTATATACACTGCACTAACCAAACCAGGAAGTGACATGACCGGTTGTCTTATTGACAGCCAAGAGTGTATAACAAGGTTAATTTATAATAGTGACAATTTCAAATGAAATCTGCATTTTATCTGAAAGATAAAAGGAAGACACAATCTTAACACATAAAGTCCTCCAGCAAGCCAATATCTTTTTGGGATCTCCTTTTAAAGTAAGTACATATCACAAACTTGTATTCTTAACGCTATAGTGCCCCCGTCCCTATAAAAATTCAGAGCCTAGAGTTGTGTTTAACCCTGCAATGTAAACATTGCAGTTTCTACAAAACTGTAATGTTTTACATTGCAGAGTTAAAACGACCGAACCTCTACACGCAGGCCACTTCATTGAAATGTGTGCTTTTAGCAGGCCTTTAAATTTGCACCAAGCAGACATAAGAACAAGGTCAGTGTTTCAGTGAATCAGACTATGCAAGAAACGGTTTTCAACAAAAAGTGCGTCACATTAGTAAAATATATATTTGAGAGAGAGAGAGAGAGAGAGAGAGAGAGAGAGAGAGAGAGAGAGAGAGAGAGAGAGAGAGAGAATATTAGAAGCGGGGTTGTAAACATGCTGTACATCCGTTTCCCTTATTGGTATTGATTACACGTTGAAACATGCACTCTGTATGCTCAACACTTTGAAATTACATGGCCTTGATTTGTAGAAAACACTACATTGTGTCCTTCCAAAATGATAAATATTTACCAGGATCAGTGACTTATTCCATCAGAGACTTTATTTAATTAGTGATTTGTTCCTCTGAGAGTATTGACTTTATTGTTATTTACATTAATGACTTTTCCATCCGAGATGATTGATTAGCTCTTATCAGAGTGCACTGACTTTGGCTATTCATGACTAAAGTATTTTTATTCTTTGGCTATATAATATATTCCCCAGTATTTTGTTGTTGTTGCTGCTGCATTAAATGTATTTGCATATTACTAGGTACCTTTTTACTTTTTGACTTTGCCAAGGTTACAAGAATATTGTTCTGTTTTGTTTCTTTTCATCTTTTCGTTTCCTGATAGATTGTAGTCTTTACAAGGGAACGCTGTCATCAAATATCAGGGAAGATTTATTGTTATAATATAAACTGGCAAAATTGTAAAAGTAAAGTACTCAACAATAGAAAGCGTCTGTTGATACCACTGTGATTAACCGACCTTGAGAATTGCACCACTTCTCAGATGATGGCTCTATGAACATAAATAATAATTGGCACTTTTATAATTGGGGACAGAAACGAGACCTCCCTGGCTGTCAATCAAACTCCAAAGCTCCACAGAGAATTCATCCTTTTCAAAGAACTGCACTACAGCTCATTGAGAAGCATAGGAATGCCACATTCACATGCATGCTTGTGGCTTCAGAATAAAGGCTTCTCAATGACTATTCCCTGGCACAGACTGAAAGTCTAGGCTGGGGAAAATGGGGAGGGCTTGCAAAGGCTGCAGAGAGCAGGTATGTAGCTTTTTCAAGCTGTTATCACATATATCCCTAAAAAAAAAATAATAATAAAAAAAAATAAAAATTACATGGATGCTTTCTTTGGGGGGGGGGGAGAGAGAAAGAAAGAGAGAGAAAGAAGAGAGAGAGAGAGAGAATATGAATACACACACACACACATATATATATATATATATATATATATATATATATATATATATATATATATATATATATATATATAAAAAACACCAATTCCTTGCACACAGGCTCAAAGTGTAAAATCCGGGTGCTTGCAGTCTGGGGGAAATTCAGATATCCAAATGGTAAATATGACCAGCACAGTTTTCTTGAAGATTAAAAGTTGTAGATTTTATTAATACATGTTAAAAATGGCCGCAGCTTGCAGTTATGGCTTGCTGTCCACTCAAGAGCACTTCAAGTTGTTTCAGCTCTGGAGCACTCTGCCCCTCACATTATGGGCTGGAAACTCAAAAGGGGGGGTCTCAAGCTGGACAATGTGTAAGCACCCGGGGGATATCCCTCAAGAGCAACTATCATGGCCTGATGGTCTATTCATCATATGTGCAGAGGTCCAGTGCACATGTCGATGTACTCTCTGGATCCCAGAGCTGAATGCTTTGGATTGGGGAACTATATACGCCAAGCTCCACTAGGCCGTTACCGTGGTCAGATGCAGCAATCCTTCCAAGCCCATGGCATAGGCTGAATTCCTTTATTGTGTTAACACAGCAGCCTGCACTCTTTTGTTTTTACTGGGTCTATGAAACGCCAAATTGTATTCTTCATCATGTAATATTGTTTAGAATGCGTCAGGGATACTGATCCAACCTCAGTTTACATACGTTTTGGTGGTAATTCCATTCATCTGACCTCACTGAGATATAGCTATTAGAGTTCAGCGAACCCGGACTGTAAAGTTCGGGTTCGTACCGAACATTACATTTTTGGGACCACGGACCTATCACTGTATGTTCGGGTTGGAGTTCGGTGTTCGGCGATTTAATGGCGCGTTTTGAAAGGCTGCAGGGCAACCCATCAACAAGCATTTGACTTGTGTGCCCTTAGAAGCCATCATAGCCATGCCTGCTAATGGCATGGCTGTGATTGGCCAGTGCAGTATGTGACCCAGTCTCTATATATAAGCTGGAGTCGCGTAGCGCCGCACACACCTGAGCTCTTATTAGTGTAGGGAGAGGATGCTGCATCTGTGAGGGACAGCTTAGGAAAGAATTCTGCTAACTAGTACATTAGTGGGGTGCACTTCATAACTGAGAGTCAAATACTGTGGTTACATCGGAGCTTTAAAAAGTCAATTTTTTTTGGTGCTAAACTGCTAAATAGTAAATTTCGGGTGTGCTCTTCATATCTGAGAGTCAAATACAAGCGTCAAATACTGCTGTCACGTTGCAGTTTTAAAATTTAAAAAATTTTGGGTGCTAAACTGCTAGATAGTATTTTAGTGGGGTGCACTTCATATCTAAGAGTCAAATAGAGGCATCATATAGTGCGCTTACAGCGCAATTGTAAACATTCTTATTTTCTGGGTGCTAAACTGCTAAATAGTACATTTGCGGCCTGCACTTCATATCTGAGAGTCAAATAGAAGCGTCAAATAGTGCGCTTACAGCGCAGTTGTAAACATTCTAATTGTTTTGCTGCTAAGGTGCTAAATAGTACATTTGCGGCCTGCACTTCATATCTGAGAGTCAAATAGAAGCATCAAATAGTGTTCTTACAGCGCAGTTGTAAACATTCTAATTGTTTTGCTGCTAATCTGCTAAATAGTACATTTTCTGCGTGCTCTTCATATCTGAGAGTCAAATAGAAGCTTCAAATAGTGCGCTTACTGCGCAGTTGTAAACAATCTAATTTTTTTGCTGCTAACCTGCTAAATAGTACATTTCCGGCGTGCTCTTCTTATCTGAGAGTCAAATAGAAGCGTCAAATTGTACGCTTACTGCGCAGTTGTAAAAATTCTAAATTGTTTTGCTGCTAATCTGCTAAATAGTACATTTTGGGCGTGCACTTCATATCTGAGCGTCAAAGAGAAGCATCAAATACTGCGGTTACAGCGCAGTTTGACAAATTCTAATTTTTTTGGGTGCTAAATAGTACATTTGCGGCCTGCACTTCATATCTGACAGTCAAATAGAAGCGTCAAATACCAATATAACAATAGTGTAATTCGGGGGCAATACCCTCACAAGTCAAACTGAGAGGTCAGTTTATAGGGAAAACTGTTGCCTGGATACAATTCTAAAACAATTCCCATATGTCCTTTGCAGAGTTTACATGCTGGAAAAACACAGGTGCCAACTGCTGTGGCTTTCTGCAGTGTGCAGACCGGCAAGGAGGGCAGGGTTGAGGAGTGGGTGGAAGATGATGTGGAGGATGATGAGGTCCTAGACCCCACATGGAATCAAGGTCATGCGAGTGACATGTGCAGTTTGGAGGAAGAGGCACTGGTCGCACAGAGGCACCAGCACAGCATAAGAGGGAGCAGGGTGCAAAAGCAGAGCGGCCGTCCCCTAGTGCTCGTCGGCATGTATTATCTTTAGAATTCCCACAGTTATCCAAGTAACAGATGGAGAGATAAAAGGAAGCATAACAGATTTAACAAGCCATTCGCAATTTCACAGTCAGGAGCAGAGTCCGGTGACCGAGACCCAGACACTGTCTGGGTGGCGGTCGGACGACCGGGACCCAGAATGCCTGATGTTGAAGTTAGGAGTCACAGTGTGGAATGGATTAGCAGCTGCATTGGTCTGGTGCAGGGTAACCGCACGCCCCCTGGTGTTGAGCACCAGCGTTTGTGCAGCCACATACAAGGACCCTGATGCAGCTTCAGTAAAAAGAGTATTGGGTCACCAGACTGATCTGCAACTTGGAATAGGATGTGACATTCACTGTAGCGGCTGTGCGTGTTTTCGGCGTTCTCACCCTGCTGCTGCTCGCCTGTCTGTGCTGCAGCATAAATTTGGCCTTCCCGCTCACCGCCTCATATGCGACGTGCCCACAAGGTGGAACTCCACCTTGCACATGCTGGAGAGACTGTGCAAGCAGCAACAGGCGATAGTGGAGTTTCAGCTGCAGCACGCACGGGTCAGTCGCTCTGCACCAGACTGGCCCTCCAATTGATCAGAGTTAAAGGATTTCAAGTGGACTCATTACAATTACAGGGCCTCTAAAGAGTCCTGTATTGTTATTTGATGTCACTACCTTCCCACGTCGGGAGTGGGTCATTTGCACGCCTGCTGCATTTCTTGCATGTGGTAGCCGTTTCTCAGATTCCCTCTCTGTAATCCCTAATTCCCCGTTACCCGTGGTCACCATGGTAGGCGCAGTAAATGGCATTGAAAGTTGATATGGATGACATACGAATGCGTTGTCGCCTTGTCGTTGGGAAGCCCAGTGAAAGACGAGCAGGGTGATCTCCTCCGGGAACTTGGCTTGATCGGAGTTGAGCCAGTTCTGGGTGGCCCTTGTGATGCGGCATGCCCACTCTGCATGGGAGTCCTTCTCCCCTTTCCGGGTCTCCATAAACTTTCGGCGGTATTGCTCGGGGGTGACCGCATACTAGGCCAGGAGGATTTGGGTAATAAAGACAGGCTCTTCTGGTATAGCCCGGTAAATATCCACTGCCTTCCCCACTAGTTTGCTGGCCAGGATGGTAACCCAGTCGTTGAGGTCCACGTCTTGGAGTAGGCACTGGAGCTCAAAGTCTTGTAAAAAGTAATCGATGCCTTCTTCTGCTTCCTTGAAGTCTTTGAAGGCATTGTATGGTAGCTTGTGAGCCAGGGTGGTTGTGCTTCCCGGCACCCTCTGCTCCCTTCTTCCTTCATCTGGGTTCAGTGAGGTCGTCCTCTGTCTATTGGCAAGGACATAGGCTTATACCTCCAAAAAGGTCCTGCTGACAATCTCCTCTGAGGGTGGCTCTTGGTAATATGCCAGGCGCCGTTACACCTCCTTGCACACTTCCTCCTCATCTCCTGCTGCTGCTCGCCTGTCTGCGCTGCAGCGTAACTTTAGCCTTCCTGTTCACCGCCTCATGAGACTGTGCGAGCAGCAGCAGGCGATAGTGGAGTTTCAGCTGCAGCATGCATGCGTCAGTCGCTCTGCGGAACAGAGTTGTCTTTTTTTATATGTCCCAATATTTTGGGCGCTACCCCAATTAAAAAAAAAAATATATATATATATATATATATATATATATATATATATATATATATATATATATATAAAAAAACAGTGTTGGCTACCTCCTCCTCTTCCACCGCCGCTTCCACCTACACCGCCAAGGTCACCGCCTCCTCAATCTATGGGTCACTTAGTATAAACTATGTACACAATAGCAGAGGCTTGTGAAGGCCTTTTCTCCATGCATTAGGAGTTGAGCTCAGTTTGAACAATGAAAGAGAATACCCTGCACTCCAACCCTCTCCCAAATGGATAATTCTGGTGATCCTCCTGACACCCATGCTTTAGATTTTGATTTATGTTCTTTCGAAAGCTAAAATCAAAGATTCCATATATGGCTCAGCTGTATTTTTAATTTTCATGTTATTTTAAGTGATTTCCCTATCCACATTTGTTTGCAGGGCACTTGTCCTACTCTTACTCACATTTTACTTCCTTTTGCAGCCCTCTAGCCCTTTCCAGGACTTTTTTTAGAGGCATTTCTGTGCCCAAAGGTTCGGGTCCCAGTTTGGGGTCAAGTTCGAGCACTTTTTTTCAAAGTGCGGCCGAACCCGCCAGTCCCGAACATCCAGGTGTCCGCTCAACTCTAATAGCTTTCACTTGTTCACGTAATGGGCTTTTTGGCACGCAGCTCTTTACCTCAGTTCTAGCTTGTATTTTTCACACGTCGTTTGTAATATCCATGTCTATCTTTTGCCATCTGTTCTTACTCTCCGCCTAAGTGTAGTATTGAGACATGATTACATTACTCTTGATGTTAATTAAAAAATTTTTTAAAAAGTGCTAACCGCTCAACATGACTTGCAGTTTACCTTGTCACATTACCTACTCTTGTCATGTATTTACAAGCTTGTACATCTATCTCTGCACTACTAAAATGAAGAATTAAACAAAAACAAACTGTGACAACTTCACTGTACTAGTCAGTGGGGGTGCTAGATGAATGTGTACTGTGTGACCATTGCATTCAAAATGGCTGAACGAGTAGAGCAACAAATCTGCATCAAATATAACATTAAGCTTGAACATTCCTCCATGAAAACTATGTGGATGATGCAGAAGGCTTTTGGGGACAATGCAATGAGTGCAGCACGAACGTTTAAAAGATAGTCGAGAATCTGTTGAAAGATTTGGCCCTGTGCAACTCCTGTGGCTTTTCCCAAAACTAATCCGAACTAACTGTGGACCATTGGACATTTAGGTTAGGTTGAAATTCGGACAATATTTTTGGATCTGAATTTCATTCAGACAAAAGATTTCCTCCATCTTCAGCTCCATCTTGCAACTGTATAGCAGATAGCTACCTAAATTGGTATCCTTTTGTAGGACTACCATATTTAATGGTACCAAGTTAGAGTGCTGTTTAGTAGATATCTCCCTTATTTGATATCCTTAGGGCTAAAGACCTTTTCTTAATTTTGGTCTTTCAGCTGCTACTACTAAATGGCCCTTGGGATCCCATGCTGCCACGTTGGGGTGGGGGAGACCAGGTTACTATGTGCAGGGCCCATGGGGCGGGGACCATGGGGACCTTAGCCCACTCTTCCAGGTGCGAGCTCAAAGGGACACACTATGAGCACCACAGCTCCACTTACCCCATAGAGGGAGAAGAAGGGGGGACATTTTTCTTTTTTAACCTATATATATATATATATTTTATTTTTATAATCTCCCATTTCACAGTTTTAATTAACGGATGCCCATGGGCCCTCAACCTGAATAAATGTGGGCCGATTTAATTACACCTACTGGTGTGCAAGCACATGATATTTTGTATTTGGCGGGCATCCATTTCAATGTGATTTAAAACTGACATTGTATATACTATCTGTTATGCCTGGTTATTGTTGGGGGGTTGGTTGTGTTCAGGCGAGGGGCTCCTATTATTTTCCTTTCTTATATTTTCTCTCTTCATCAGTATGACATCTGAGGGCGGCATATTAGCTCACTGTGACCCGCACAGAGCCAGGACCCTGTTATGAGGGTGGGGGGCCGGAGGGACGGGGAAGGGGGTCAGTCGCAGGTTGTTTGTTTAAACAGAGGGTGGTGGTGAGGGGTGGAGACACTGTTTTCCTCCAGTCCTGCACAGTTACCCATCACACGGTTCATCCGGAAACATTTAGGCCTCACAACTCAAACTCCTTACTTCCCCTCGGACTGACGGTGAAACCCGCCCACTAAAGCCGCTAGGGGCACCGGGAACGAGTGCAAGGAACCCCCGCTGACATAACACACACATGGTTCCCAGGCATATACGATAGGTAGCCCCGCGTCAAGCCAGCTGGTCTGCGGGGTAGCACCGTACCATTACCTTAGCTCATACAACCACCCGCGTCCGCTTTAGCGCTTGCCCGAAGGAACTGGCGGGTACAGGGCGTTACTGGGAGCCCGAAAGGGGGCACGACTTTTCTCACCTGCGGGAGCACAGCGACTCACACGTCTGACAGTCTCCTAGGCCCTGCACCATTACACTGCACACTCTTCCGGACTTATATACTCTGATGAGGGGTGGGGTGACGCAACACCAGATGCACTGAGGTGTACCAGACCAAAGGGACATTTGTCATTACGCAGCCCTCCCATCGCAGGCTGACCCTGGAGAGCTATCCCCAAGCAACGCCTGCTGAAGGGCCCCCCCCCCCTTTTTTTTCCTCTCTTCCCCTGTCGCCTTGCCTCAATAATATATGATATGGTGGAGGGTGGCGACCCTAGTGCGGGGGAACGAGGATGGTCTGGGATGGACAGTTTGCTACATGTCCACACCATCAACGCCAGAGGACTCAACATTCCCGAACTGCGCTCTTGCGCTCTTGCCTTTTCAGGGAGCTATGGGCAATCCGAACGTCGGTGGCTATGATCCAAGAAACGCACTTTAAATTAAACTCTGAGCTGATTCTATGGGACCGCCGTTATCCCCAAGGCTACTTTGCATCCCACCCTCACACCAAGCAATCGGGAGTAGCGATCCTCTTCTCCCGCACGACACCCTTTATGTTGCTGGAACAGAAGGCAGATCCAGACAGTCGATACCTCTTCGTAAAAGGACACATTGCTTCCCAGCCATACACCTTTGCCACAGTATATGATCCCAATGCCAGGCAGCATGCCTTCCTATCTTCCACCCTGCGGCTCCTGGTGGACTTCTCCGAAGGGACGTTGGTTCTGGGGGGTGACATTAATGTAACCCTGGAACCCGAGTGGGACACCTTCCGTGGACTGAGCACAGTTCCTCAGAGCCATTTAAGGTTTATCCGAAGGGCACTGAGACGCCTTCACTCGGTGGACTGCTGGCATTCCACGCAACCGGAGGGTAGGGACTGCACGTACTACTCCTCGGTGCATGATCTCTAAACCTGCATTGATTACCTGTTCATATCCCATGGACACCTCACTCACCTCAAGGATGTCGACATTGGAAACATCACCTGGTCGGACCACGCGCCAGTCTCCCTTCAAATGGCCTCCCCGCTATTGCGACCTACGGAGCGCATATGGAAAATGAACGGGGCACTCCTCCTAGATGCCGAGGTGGAACAATCGGTCCAGGAGACCCTACAGCACTACTTTCATGAGAATGCCATTCCGGAAAGGCCACTGGCTGTGATATGAGAAGCTCACAAGAGTGTGATCCGAGGCACCCTCATTAAAATTGGCACGTCGAGGAAGAAGCAAAGATCAGACCAGTTGTGGATGATCCTGGAGAAGTTCTCAGAGTTGGAGACGCGGCATAAATGGTCACTGACTGATGCCGATCTCAGAGATCTGCTCGTGGCCAGGAAGGAACTCTGGACGGTACTTATTCAACAGAACTACTAAACTCTCCAGAAATCCAAAAAAAATTTATGAACACACAAATGTGGGAGGTTTCTAGCTCGCATGCTGAAAAAGAGACAAGACCACTTCCATATCCACAAAACGGCACTGGCGCATCCCTCTGATATAGCTGCAACCTTTCTGAAATATTACTCTTCTCTGTATGGCTTAACAGCAGCTCAGAGACCCCAAAGCACGTCCACAAGGAGTGCAGACATGCGACGGTATCTGACCGCACACATCAACAACAAATTGGACGCCAACGCAGCCACTAACCTAGAACGGGAACTGACGATAGAAGAGTTGAGGAGCGCCATTAAAACCTCGAAAACGGAAAGGGCACCCGGCCCAGACAGATTCCCACTACAATACTACAAATTATTCCATGATACTTTGCTTCTACACCTCCTTGCCTCATTTAACTCATCGCTCCAGGAGGGCGACCTTGGGATGGAGTCCCCGGCAGCACACATCACTGTCTTGCCCATCTCATTGCTGAACAGTGACATTAAATTGCTTGCCAAAACGTTGGCGTCACGCATGAAAGAGGTTCTCCCAGACTTGGTACACACTGATCAAAGGGGGAGGGGGATGAAACAGGAGACAGGGACAGGCAGGGTAGAGGGACCATACCTCACCAGCTACTGGTAGCATACTTCTGTTCAGTCTACCAAACACATGACACTAAACGAATTAATGCAGACTCGGGTACTTTGGTGAAACCCATTCATATACAGTAGGGTTTGGAACAATTGAAGTTATGATTCTAGTGTTCATAAGCACTGAGCTCTATGCACACTTTTTAACTGGCCACTACTGGGTCAGGTTATATGCCTTGTTTTGTACACATTTCTTTAATTCTAGTGTATACCCTATATTTTCACCTACTGACTTGTTAAACTGTACTAAAACCTTCAATAAAAACGAGATTGGCAAAAATAAATAAAGTCACATTATATTTTTAGCATTATACGGAGTAAAATAAATAAAGTTGTTACTTACACCCCTGCCATTTCTGTCCAGCAGTGAGCAGCAAAAGTTCAGTATTATCTGGAATTTTCATCAAATAATCATTACTCAGCTCTGTTCCATCCTCATACAGGACTACTTGGGTTTTAGAATACGGGAGCTAAAAATTAAGGGTTGCATAGTTTATTGTACAATAAGTATCTCTCTCTGTTGTGTAATATATGCAAGCTTATAAAATTTTACAACATGTAATAAAAAAGAAATAAAATAAATAAATAAATAATACAAGAATACAACAGTTATTTGGTGGCTCTGAAAGGGCCCTTAGAGGTGCTCAGTGCACAGTGGGCAAGCAATGCATGCTCACACTTTATAAAAATGTGAAGCTTGTTTCCATGCTTGTCACAATCATTTACCAACAAGTCAGTAAGAGCTAAAATGTGTGTTGCTGTTCTTATCGATTACTGGCTTTTTACATGCTGGAAAATGTAACCACTGGTAATTAGATGTTGCTGTAAATCTTAACATCTCCCATCTATATTAATAGATGTCGCTAAGCACTATGTAGCACCTGGTTTACTTGCTAGAGAGAAAGGATTTACACCTACTCCTTCTAGGTCTAAAGTGGAAAAGACAAGTTAGGGACTGTCAGTAGATCCATATTAACAAAAATAAAGAAACAAATTATATACTTCAGATATAGGTACAGTAATTAAAGGGATTCTATAGTGCTAGGAACACAAAGCTGTATTCCTAAAATTATAGTGCCCTGTGCCCTCCACCTCATGTTACATTCACTTATCCGATTCCAACACTGATGGCCTTCTGCGCTGGGTTGGGGCTCTACTTCCTCTGTTGTCATCCGAGTGGACCTAATGAGCATGTGTGGTGAGCACATTAGGATCTCCCCATAGGAATGCATTGATTCAATGTTTTCCTATGGGGATTTCACAGACGCTGGATGTTCTCATACAGCCACTAAAGGCTGTGTTAGTACTGCAATGTAAACAATGCAGTTTCTCAAAAACTGCAATGTTTTACATTGCAGGACTAAGGGGGACAAGGACACTGCACCCAGACCACATGAATCAGGTGGCGTGGTCAGGGTGTCTATCATGTCCCTTTGTAAGCACTAAAGCCTAGCAGTTAATACAGTTATATATGTATAAATGCATGTACAACAAGTCAGATGTATGCAAACACTTAGGGCACACTCTCTCTCTCTCTCTCGTACTATATATAGTTAATACAATGTTAAAGCAGCACTATAGGGTCAGGAACACAAACATGTATTCCTGAACCTATAATGTTAAAGCCACTATCTAGCCCACTTTGCCTCCATAAAGATAGTAAAATCTTACTTGTATTCAAGTCTGAAGCTTCTGCCTGTGAACTTCCTCTGACCTCTGACATCATCAGAAGTGGTGGCCTGATCCAATCTCCATGCTTTCCCATAGGATTGGCTGAGACTGACAAGGAGGCAGATCGGGGCAGAGCCAGCACAATTCAAACACAGCCCTGGCCAATCAGCATCTCCTCATAGAGATGAATTGAATCAATGAATCTCTATGAGGAAAGTTCAGTGTCTGCATGCAGAGGGAGGAGATACTGAATGTATGGATGCATTTTAGGCAGCCATGACCCAGGAAGGATCTCTAATGGCCATCTGAGGAGTGGCCAGTGAAGTTATCACTAGGCTGTAACGTAAACACTGTTTTTCTTTGAAAAGACAGTGTTTACAGCAAAAAGCCTGAAGATAATGATTCTACTCACCAGAACAAATTCAATAAGCTGTAGTTGTTCTGGTGACTATAGTGTCCCTTTAAACAAAAATCTGCACACCAGTCAAGCCATAAGACTTGCTTTTCCCACAGAAATCACAAATTTGCAGTGATGTTACTACTGCTAAGGATTCTGGGTGGGCATATGCAAATTAGTTTGACAAAGAATCACATTTTTGCCTCTTTCAATTTTAACCTCTTAAGGACGGAGCCAAATGTACACGTTGTGAACAAAACAAAATGTAAACAATACCTGGCATTTGCGCTACATGTCTGTCCAACTGTAATTCACCTCTTTCATATTAAATGCACCCACCCTTATTATATATATCATTTTATTCAGGGCTTTCATTTAATATCAAATATTTAGCTATGAAACATAATTTAATATGAAAAAATGGGAGAAAATAAGATTTTTTTCCTTTTTTTAGTTCTACATGACATTTTAACTGTCAATGTCATAATACGTTTTGCTTTTACTGCAATAAAATACACATATTTGTATTCAGCAAAGTCTCACGTGTAAAACAGTACCCTCTATGTACAGGTTTTATGGCGTTTTGGGAAGTTACAGGGTCAAATATAGCACGTTACATTTGAAATTGAAATTCGCCAGATTGGTTACGTTGCCTTTGGGACTGTTATAGTAGCCCAGGAATGAAATTTACACCCATAATGGCATACCATTTGCAATAGTAGACAACCCAAGGTATTGCAAATGGGGTATGTCCAGTCTTTTTTAGTAGCCATTTGGTCACAAACACTGGCCAAAGTTAGCGTTAGTATTTGTTTGTGTGTGAAAAATGCAAAAAACGCCAATTTTGGCCAGTGTTTGTGACTAAGTGGCTACTAAAAAAGACTGGACATACCCCGTTTGCAATACCTTGGGTTGTCTACTATTGCAAATGGTATGCCATGATAGGGGTTATTTTCATTCTTGGGCTACCATAGGGTCTCAAAGGCAACGTACCCGATCTGGCAAATTTTAATGTGAAAAAAATGAAACAAGCCTCATATTTGACGCTGTAACTTTTGAAAACACCATAAAACCTGTACATGAGGAGTACTGTTGTACTCGGGAGACTTCGCCGAAAACAAATATTTGTGTTTCAAAACAGTAAAAAGTATCGCAGCAATAATATCGTCCGTGTAAGTGCTGTTTGTGCGTGAAAAATGCAAAAAACTTCACTTTTACTGGCGATATCATCGTTGTAATACATTTTACTGTTTTGAAACACTAATATTTGTATTCAGTGAAGTCCCCCGAGTAGAACAGTAACCCCCATGTGCAGGTTTTATGGTGTCTTGGAAAGTTATAGGGTTAAATTTAGTGCTAGCAAATTAAATTCCCTTTACTTTCGGCATGGGTTGTCAGGCAGGTCCCGCTAATTGTAATTAATTAAGATACCCAATTATGTAAAAATATTACATAAATATATATGTAGAATTAATATATGTATATATATATATATATGCACACGTATGTGAATATATATGTATGTATAATTTTTTTTAAATATTTTTATTTATATATAGGTATATATATATATATAGTGATATATACGTATATATTTATGTATATAGATATATATATATATTATTTCGTTCTACGTGTATTTTGATGTAAATATATATATTAATATCACAATACAGTTAGAACGAAATAACACACATCTATATATTTTTTATTTTTTTTAATAATTTTTTTAATTTTATTTTTTAACGTATTTACATATTTAATTTTTTATAATATATATATATATATATATATATATATGTATAACAATAATTATATATATATTTAATCAGTATCAGTCTACGTGTAATTTGATAATATATATATATTTAATTATATATATATATATATATATATATATATATATATAAATAGAAAAATACACCTAGACAGTGTGTGTGTGTATGTATATGTGTATATATATATACTTAGATATATATATATATATATATATATATTTATATAATATATATATATATATATATATATATATATATATATATATATATATATATATATATTTTATTTTTTTTGTTATTTTTTTTTTTTTTTACACCTATTAATTTATTTTATTTTTATTTCCAGCCAGCAGGGGGACCACCTGCTGGCAATGCAGGAGGCAGCCTACCCAGCCATGTGATTGTGAGGTCCTCGCAAGGACCTCACTCTCACATGGCCGGGAGGCACCGGAGGAGGAGGATCTACTGTGGGGGAGCTCCCTGGGAGTCCCCCCCACCGCGATCGCCGGCGTGGGACCGCCGGCAACCGGGTAAGTAAGGAAAGACCGGAGGGCGTACTATTACGCTCGGCGGCGTTTAGAGCCGCCTAAAATAGGGCGTAATAGTACGCCCTGCGGTCTTAAGGGGTTAAACATGGATTCCTTTGAGTCTGTGTTTGCTGTATATATATATATATATATATATATATATATATATATATATATATATATATATGTATAAAGTAGGCTCCGAACCTATATATTTAAACATTAAAAGGATATGTTACAGATATACTATATATAGTATGCTTGAACCTTTTATACAGTCTTATTAGAGTTGCTATGGAAATTAATTGGAACATTTGCCATTCTCTTGATGCATGGTCAGTTTGCAAATCAGTACACGCGAAAGTGGCAGATGCGATCAGTGGAGGTGGACATAAGTTTCACGCACACTTTAAATTCAGGGGTGTCCCAAGAAAACTGCTGATTTGTTTTTTTTTTAGTCTAAGCATCATAATCACATCAATGTGTTGCAGTGGTTATGGTGCCAGGACTTCCCTGGTGCTGCCCCACAGGTAAGAGACAAACTGTTTTCTAACAGATTTGACACTTACATGAATCCTGCAGTAATCCACAGTCTGGCCCTCTCTTCAGATATAGCTAAATCAGAAATTCCTACTAATGCATTAGTGACATCAGTTCTGCTTGTGTTAAAAAGGAATTCACAAAAAGATTAAAAAAAATAAACAAAGTTATCTTGCATTCAACTTGACTCTAAAGAGCGTTGATACTTAAGCATTATTTAAAAACATTGTAATTAAACGGATACTATTAGCACCAAAATAATAATAATAACAATAATAATAATAATAGTTCATGGCTATAACAAGCTACATGCCCAAGAGGGTGGAGGGCAAAAATAGAAGTAGAGAAATGAATGCTGGGTGCATTTGCTTCTATACAAAGATGCTTCCTCAACAGCATAAAGCTATCATCCAACCCAGGTAAATGTCAATAATTATTAGAGTTCACTTTACTAGAGCGACTTAAAATTTACTGAAACTGTGTGACAAAAAAACGCTCACCTCACACAGCATAATTGCACTAAAACTACTGCAACAAGTCTTTATGGTGCTTGGAGTTTCCTTTTAATCCCCCATGTCAATATAAGGATACCTCACACATAAAGAAATATACAACTTTAATGTCCTTATTTTTTTATATATATATACACCTTGTAATAAAGAAATATCTTTGCAATTACATAGAAATGCTGACATCTACAGGTCGTGTTTTGCTTTTTATTTACTTTCGGCTCTGGCTGTAGCGATATCAGTTCTTCACTTCTTCATAAAAGCATATCAATAAAACTGTTAATAGCTCGCGACTGATTCCTCTCTTGCAACTGTCATTAGTCTAATACTATCCTTACCTTTTGTGTCACTTTACCCCACTCCCTCTAGCATGTAAGCTCATTGACCAAGGCCCTCAACCCCTCTGTCCCTGGGTGTCGAACTTGTCTAGTTACAACTACATGTTTGTTCATCCACCCATTGTAAAGCGCTGCGGAATTTGTTGGCGCTATATAAATAATAATGTAATATCAGTGTATGCTTTGAAATATGTGGTATGGTAAAAATGGGAATGCCCTGGGAAATAATTTTAGCAATAATTGATAACAAATTCGGTTATCACAGACCAGTGGGTGACGTTGGAAAGGTGGAGGGGATGTCATAACGCTGGAAAATGTATTTATTAAATAATAAGAATGCCACATGTTTGCTTCCTCATCAATGCATTGTGAAGAGCACAGGTGCACAAACAGAATGTCAAAATGTAAACCTGGAAATACATTTTCTTTATATTTGCTAGATATGCGAAGAGCACAAAGTATAAATAAAAAGTTACCTATACTGTATCACAAGGAGACAAAAACTATAACTAATAAATAAAAAAAATATACATAATCCTGCTCTGATGATATTGTCACTATATATGCTCCTCCAGCTGTTTGAGATTCTCACTCAATTACCTCTTCATTCCCTTTGTATTTTACCAATAGCTGCTTCTCTGTTAACTCTTCCAGCCATCACATTCAAACTCCCCCTGCTACCTTTTGTCTCAAATCCCCATGGTATCCTTTAGATTGTAAGCTCACGGGCCATCTAGCCAAGCACTTTGTATAAAAGAGCTCCAATGTTTAGTTATCAGCTTACTGGCAGGGCTCTCTCTACCTCTTGTCTCAAATCCCCATGGTATCCTTTAGATTGTAAGCTCACGGGCCATCTAGCCAAGCACTTTGTATAAAAGAGCTCCAATGTTTAGTTATCAGCTTACTGGCAGGGCTCTCTCTACCTCTTGTCTCAAATCCCCATGGTATCCTTTAGATTGTAAGCTCACGGGCCATCTAGCCAAGCACTTTGTATAAAAGAGCTCCAATGTTTAGTTATCAGCTTACTGACAGGGCTCTCTTTACCTCTTGTATTTGTCTGTGTATATTGTACGTTCTCCACTAATTGTACAGCGCTGAGGAATCTGTTGGCGCTTTATAAATAGCAGTAATAAATGAATAAAATAACTAAATACAGATACAGAGTACATAATAAGCCTCCCCAGTCATTATTACACCCTGACATAGATATTACACCTGGAACTTTTTGCATCCTTTCTCCTTCAACTCTTTCAGATCTTTGCAGGCCACGCCATATTTGTCTTCGCTGTTCAAAACTCTTATTTTAAAAATCTTCATGGGTTTGCCCGTAGAAGAATTCCTGTTGCCCATTAAACCAGCAAATAGACACTTTTTTTTTTTTCCCATTCACTATCACTATCCCGATCTACATCTTCTGCGCATGTGCAGGAATCGCATCGCTTCCGGGAACGCCGGTTATTTGGCGCATGCGCAGAGCTCCACCGCAGGTATGTTCCGACTGTGGCCGGTTTCACTGCAAATCCCAGAATCCACCGCGAACTGGGGCTCGGCGCATGCGCTGTGGCTTGCTTGTTGTCAAGCGGTGGCTATGGAGATGGAGGAGAGGTGGATATAGCGGCCCGGTGTCTGAGCTTTTACCGAGCCCGGTGGATAGAGAGCTGTGAGACCCATTCCTGTAGTCACGGCCTTGTCAAGGGACCTGGGCTCTAAAGGACGTCGGCATAGAACGACCCTCAACTCGTGCCCATACAAGGGGTATAGCTGTGCCCCAGCCACCTACCTCTCCTGCTTGGGATCTGTGGCACTCGGATAACGGGTACCCCAGGCTTGGGGGTAAGTAAGGGGGCTAGTAAGGGGGGTCATTTGGGGATAATGATGTGCAAGAATCTTCTAGCAATTTTTAGGATACCTAAAATCAAAGCTAAGGAAAAACCCCAGGAGCTAACAATCTAAAGTCTATCAATGCTGGCTGGACTAGAACTCCCATCATCCCCATGTTAGATTTTGGTTGGAGCTGGAGTCCTGCTCTGCGTTAAACATTTGTATATTAGTTAAAGTTGATCACGTCTGTGATATATATATATATATATATATATCGTTTTTAATTATTTTAATTTTATTTTTTATTGACAAGTAGAGTTGATGACGTCTGTGATATATATCACAGACGTCATCAACTCTACTTGTCAATAAAAAAATAAAATTAAAATAATTTTAATTATTAGGTAATATATATATTATGTTTTTAATTATTTTTATTTTTTATTGACAAGTATTTTATAAAAAAAAATTCAAAACATTATTGTAACAATATTAAGAGGAAGAGGGGGTTCCATCTTCACATATTAAAATGGCAGATGTTCACATATTAAAATATACAGAGTATAATACTTTTAAAAGCAAAAATGAGCACAACAGTTTACCTAAATTATTTTTAGTTGATATTCTTATTTGTGACAAATCTTTGATTTATTTACTGTAACTGACAGATTTGTAACTTTTTTTTTTTAAATTATTTTGTTTATCAATGCCATGCACATAATGTAAATGTGCTACATTTTTATTATTATTATTATTATTATTTTTTTCTATATGGCTGGAGACTTTCAGTAATTGACACTTCTGTGTGCTGAGTTGCTAATAGAATCTTGACATTGTTACAGTTAAAAAAAAATCCAAGGATAATCTCAGAAATGTTTTACTAATAAATATGCAGTTCAGATTAGTTTTGCTGTGATAGATTCCTAGTAATTAACAGAAATGTAATACTTATTTGGAATCTATATACAGAATAAGTAAAAATAGCTTTATTATTGGCAATGCATTCAGAAAGTATTCAGACCCCTTCATTGTTTCACTTTTTTTTTTTTTTTTTTAATGTTGCAGCCTTAATGCTATAATTACACTTACCCCTCGGGGGAGGTACTCTGAAAAATATAAAGTGAGATACAACATAGTGCAATATATCGAGTCCATCAGAGTGATATATATGGGGGTATGGACCACACTCACATGATGTAGAGCCTTATAAGGTTTAGCTCAAATCACATAGGCAAAGGTATATTAGGTAATGCCAAACCCTCTCTGGATCCTTAGCCCAATCGTCCTCAATATGGAGGCAAAAAGGAAACAAAATATCCTAGTGCAGATTGTAAAGTACAATATATAGCCAAAGTGCAAGCGACTGCTCGCCTTCTAGGGAGCTAATTATACTAGGCTCCCGGTATTTTGGTGTGTGTGTCTTTAAGGGGAACACAGCCCTTCTTGTGCAGCAGGAGTAGGAAGTGGCAAGGTTCCACAGGACTTGAATAAGTAATCAAAACACACTTTTTATTATTACAAAAAATGGAAAAAAGAATGTGGTGACCAACCAGAAGAGGAACCTCCAGATATAAACAAAGACTCAGCAGGAAACGGATGTGCCGATTTGAGAAAGTCGCCTGGCAAAACGCGTCTCTGTGAAAGGAGGTCCACCCAGGATTCTATATACTGTTGATTGGTATTATACACATTAATATTTTTTGTTTTGTAATAATAAATTGTATTTTAATTATTCAAATCCTGTGGATCCTTGCCACTTCCTACTCCTGCTGCACAAGAAGGGCTGTGTTCCCCTTAAAGACACACACACACACACCATAATACCGGGAGCCTAGTATAATTCGCTCCCTAGAAGGTGAGCAGTCGCTTGCACTTTAGCTATATATTGTACTTTACAATCTGCACCAGGATATTTTTTTTCCTTTTTGTCTCCATATTGAGGACGATTGGGTTAAAAATCTGGAGAGGGTTTGGTATTACCTAATATACCTTCGCCTATGTGATTTTAGCCGATCCTTCACACCATGTGCGTGTGGTCCATAACCCCATAAATATCACTCTGGTTGATTTGATATATTGCACTATAATCTCACTTTTTATATTTTTCAGAGTATCTCTCTTTTGTCATTATACACCTCCTCTGATCTCAGAGGGGAAAGTGTACACTAGCACTCCACTAAGTAACTTTTGGTGGTACTATCCATCTGGTTCACTCTATTGGTTTTATCATTTACGTGTATCTTTGGGGTATTTACAAGAGTGTTGAGCTGCTGTACATATACTTTCTATCACTAAGCGCCTTATATTACACATTTTGTTATTAATGCTATAATTGTTTCAATTATGAATTTTTTCACATCATTGCACACTCAGAGTCCCATTATAACAAAGCAAAATCCCAATTTTTGACAACTTTGCAAATGTTTTAATTTTTTTTTAATAGCTGATTTACATTTGTTGGAGTATCTTGAAATATGACACTTGAAACTTGGCTCATTTAACAAATTTAGATTATGCAATTTCTCTGGGTCATCTTTTAAATAGTTATACATTTTGTGGCAAATTTAATTGTTTGGACATAATTTGGAATGGAACATACTTGTCTATATATGGTGTAAAAACATATCGGATCAAAAACCAAAGCTATGTCAAATGAATTGCCTGCAGAACTCAGCACTGTCAGCACAGATCTGGCGAAGATTACAAAACTTTTGGCTGCATTGAAGGGACCCAAGAGCTCAATGACCTCCATAATTCTTAATGAGCATGTGTCATGCCCCCCCACAAAATATTCTCATTAGATTGAGCATAGGATATTGTCAATTTATTGTGATAGCAAATATATAGATTAGGAGAAAACACTTTTTTTTTTTTTTTTTTTAACAATAGGTTTTCTCCCAGTTGTCAGTCAATGCCTCGGTATGCCAAGGAATTGACTGACTAGGAAGAGCAGAAAAGACTGTATGTACATGCGCTGCAGTTGCTATGGAAACAGCCTAGGAGTATAGGAAAGGTGTGCCAACGTCACTGCTCTTCGCCAGCACAATACTAACCCAATGGTGATGCATGGTGGTATCATCATGCTTTGAGGATGTTTTTTAGCGGCAGGAAATCTGAACGCAGCAACATTTAAGATATTCTTAAAGGACCACTATAGGTTTCCTTGCACTATAGTGTTAATAGGTCCCCCCCTCCCGCCAGGCTGAAGTGGGATGTAGGGGTTAAAATCATACCCTTCTCCAGCCCCGGGCTCCCTCCTCCTTCCGACGTCAATGGCTGAATGCGCATTCAGTCAGTCCATAGGAAAGCATTTCTTAATGCTTTCCTATGGACGCTGGCGTCTTCTCGCTGTGAAAATCACAGTGAGAAGCGCGGAAGCGCCTCTAGCGGCTGTCAATGAGACAGCCACCAGAGGCTGGATTAACCCATATGTAAACATAGCAGTTTCAGAGAACAGGGTTCACCCTAGATGGACCAGGTATCCAGACCACTTCATTAAGCTGAAGTGGTCTGGGTGCCTATAGTGGTCCTTTTAATAAAAGCTTGGTCCAGAGAGTTCAGGACCTCAAACTAGGATGAAGATTAAACCTCCAACAGTACAATTTCTCCAAGCACACAGGCAAGACAGGGCAAAATGGGTTAGGGACAACTCTGTATATGTCATTGAGAATCCCAAAGCCCAGACTTAAACCCAGTTGAACATCTCTGGAGAGATATAGTTGCCCACCAAACAACCTGACAGAGATTCAGAGGATCTGCAGAGGTGAATGTCAGAAAAAAACAAATTCACGTGAGCATAGCTGTTGCATCATACTCAAAAACACTTAAGACTGTAATCACTGACAAAGGTGCTTCAACTAAGTACAGATTTAAGGGTTTGAATACTTGCATAAATGTGATATTTCAGTGTTTTCTGTTTAATGTGTTTGCAGTCAGGGGCAGACCCAGAACTGAGTCTGGGGAGGGACACTTAGAGGTTATTACAGGGATAATTCAGGCACAATAACCACTACATCTCTCTCTGTAGTGGTTATGGTTCCACTATGGTTCTCTCTGTGGTGCCCTCGCTGAGTAAGTAGCCAAACCGTTTAAGAACAGTTTGACAACTTACCTGGGTTCTGCTAGGATTGGGGATGTAGTAGGTTGAAGTGTGTGGGTGGGAGGGGAGGGTGGTGAAGTGTGTGTGTGTGGGGGGGGTGAAGTGTGTGTGTGTGTGTGTGTGTGTGTGGGGGGGGGTGAAGTGTTTGTGGGGGAGTGTGTGTGTGTCATCATATGGGTTTTGAACTGCAAATACGAAACCATTACAAATGCGAACAATGCTATTTCAAGCATCACTGTCACGCTTTACTGACATTGTTTAAAGGCTCAATATACGTAACAAATCAACTTTTAGCTTAATGTAGCAGTTTTGGTGTATAGAGTATGCTCCTGCAATATCACAGCTCAATTCTCTGCCATTTAAGAGTTAAATCACTTTGTGACTACTGCTCTAGGCACATACTTTCATAAACACTTCCTGTGAAGAATGTTTAAACTTCCTTTATTGCAGATTCTGTTTAATTTTGAACTTCTCATCGCTTGATTTGTTTTAGACTCTGCAGAAAAGTGTGTTATGAAAGTTTAATTCACAAAGAAAGCGATAAAAACTCATAAAGGAAGTTAAAGGGACACTATAAGCACCAATTGAAGTGGTCTGGGTTCAGTGTCCCAGGTTACTTAACCCTGCAATTGTAATTATTGCAGTTTTTGATAAACTGCAATAATTACATTGGAGGGTTAACTCCATCTCTAGTGGCTGTCTACCACACAGCCACTAGAGGGATTTTCAGGTGTTTAGGCGACTTTTGGTCGCGTAACTGATGCTAGATATCCTCATGTCTGCGTGAGGACATCCAGCGATACCCAAAGCCCCATAGGAATTATATAATGCTTTCCCTAGGGAAGAAGTCTTAATGCGTTTGCGGTGCTTGTCCACACCAAGTGGATTGCTAATAGGAATGGATACAGTTCAGC